GGGGGGTGGGGGCGTTTCAATGACCACCAGTAGGTCGCCGGTGTGCAAGTGGGTCCATCCGGGTGGATGGCTGGCCGATTGCATGATGGATGGACGCTTTGCTCATGATGGATTGATGGAGAGATCGAGACACTTTGATGCACCCCACGACCAGGCGAGCAATGTGATGCTCTCGTTTACTCAATCATCATGGTATACCATGCAGTGACTTCGCACGTCTCGCATCATCAGCAACTCTCTCGCGCGCACACTCACATACACACACACACACACACTTGTGTCCACACACAGATCTCAGGAGGAGACAAGAGAGAGAGAGACGAGTGCGATACAGGTAGGTAGGTATGAGAGACGCCAGACAGCACATAGGCACACACACAACACACACACACACACACACGCCAAGCCAAGCCGAGAAGGAAGGGCCCCTTGCTCCTCTGGTGCAATATATGTGATGATGTGGTGAATACAGTGAGTGAGTGAGTGAGTGGCCGTGGAGGCAAGGAGCTTCCGTGCAAATGAATGCCGTGACCGGCAGACAGTCAGGCAGACAGGCAGGGAGGGAGGGCAGCTAGGCAAATGCGACGACAGGCGGGCAGGCTTTATAAAGGCACTCACGCACATACACACACACATCCATCGATCGACACACCCATCCATTCATGGCTAACAGGGCTGCGCGTGGGTCGGTCCATCCATCCTTCAAAAATGACCCATACATATCTTCTGTCTGTGCCTCAAGCGAGCTTAGCTTGGGACACACACCTGCACTCTGCACTTCCGCAGCAGCGCCACAGACACAAACACAAAGAAACACTTAAACAGATAGCCATGTAAGAAAGACAACGGTTCGGAACCACGGTGTTTGTACGAAACGGTCAGACACGAATTGAAAGTAACACTCACGACCCACCCTCCATCCGCCATACATGCAGAGATCGATCGACAAAGAGAACCCGCCCCCACGCCCATGCACCCGCCCCTGTTATAAAACGCAACACACGAGGCTTAACATAACAGCCATGACACGGAAGGAAACCAATGTGTTGGGGGGTGTGAGAGAGAGAGAGAGAGAGAGAAGCGCCCCAGAGCCTACTTCAGGGTGTGCGAAGCGTCATCCATCCATGTGTGTGAGGGACCTCTGTGTGTGTGTGTGTGTGTGTGTAGCGCGCCTGTAGAGTACCACAGCATACCATAGTATACCACATCTCTCCCAGCCTGCCTGCCTGCCTGCCGCCGGGGAGGGAGGGAGGCAGGCAGGCTGGAAGACAAGTACGAGACAGACAGACAGACAGACAGCCCAACCACACACCACACCACACACACTAAGCTGGCTGACGGAGATGTGATAAAAGAATAGGCACACAGACACCGAGTGAGTGGATGAATGAATAGAATACCAGAGCCAGCTGCCACTGCCATCAAGTCGGTCGAGGTGACCGTGCGATGCCTGTCTGCCTGCCTCCGTGTGTGAGGAAGCTCCAAGTCGATTCTCAGTCAGAGGGCACCCATAGCAACGTATGTATCCTTGCTGCCGTGCCCGCCAGGAGGCCGGCCGCTTGGCGAATTAAAAATACCACATCCGATGGCATCAAGCGATCAACAGACAGGTAGAGACGAGAGAGAACGGGCAGACAGTGTCGCAAGATGGAGAGAGGCAGGCAGGCAGGGCGAAGATTGGCATGAACGTCATAGTGTGTATGTCGTTTGCTTGGCATGTAAGCGGGAAAAATAGAACGAACAGGCAGGCAGGCAGGCAGTAGGCAACCACACACACACATTCAGTCAGACAGACAGACAGTACGGACGTATATGAACGAATGAATGCACCCACACCGGCTGACAGACACACAGAGCCTCCCTCCCTCCCTCCCCTCTCCCCAGTCAGAGTAATGCGATGGAACGTAAGCAGTGAGTGCCGCCTTCGGCATCAATCCAGGCAATCAATGCCGGTAGGCATACGAATACATGAACCGAACACCGAATGGAATGGAATGGAATGGATGGTGGACGACACACACAACAGGCATGTCAGAGAGGAATCAGGGAAAAACCTCGCTGGCGGGCCACTACGGTACACACGCACGCACAGAGACTACCGTACCGTACCGTAGGTACTCAGGCGTGTGCGCGTGTGGGTGCGATCATAATGACCTCACAGGGACACACCAAGCCAGGCACGAAGACATGCAGGCGGGCGGGCAGGCAAGGACGCAGCCCAGCCAGCCGGCGATCCCTCCCTCCCTCCCTCCCTCTCTGCTGCGTATGAATCCATGTAAGTGCATATATGTGTCATGACTATCTATGGCACAACCCACGACAACCCCACCACCCCTCACATGCGCCCGCCCCGCCCCGCCCCGCCTTCTTGTGGTCTAGCCAGCCGCACCCGAGAGCCCGCCCGTCGTGCCGTGCGTTGCTCCCCTCCCCCCGTCACTCTGCCTACCTATCGACACGGGCACCGCGCCTTACCCTACCGAACTAACGACCGACCGACCAAACAACACAATGAGCGAATGAGGGGCTGGCTCTCTGAGAGTGCGTGGTCGTGCGTCGTGCGTCTTCCGATGGCGGCCATTGCGAGAGCGGATCAGTGCTTCAGTGGACCGGGAAAGGGCAGCAGACGGGGGAAGAAGGTAGGGAGGAGAGAGAGCTCACACCACACCACACCACACCGACTAATTCACCCCTCCCATATATCCCTGTATCTATCTGTTTTATCTCCCTGCCCTGCCCTGCCCTGTAGTGGTACTCACTTGTGTACGTGATGTCATGGATATGTACGTACGAACACATACTAGGCAGTACGTATACTTACTTACGGGGTGTGTCTGTCTGTGTGTGTGTGAAGGTGTAAATGCGCTGTATGGCATACAGTACATGTGAGTGAGTGAGTCAGACCCATGGATGGATGGATGGATGGATGGAACACACGCGGGCACCCTCCCCCCTACCCCGCACACACACAGCCACACAGGTGAGTGAGTTGAGTGAGTGAATACGGCGAAAAACGAAAAGCATGCATACGGATCCCTCGGCACGGCACGGCACGGCACCCCACGGAGCCCATGTCATGTACGGTATGTAAATGCATTGTGCAATGCACCCACCGACCCAACTCAGCACACAGACGTTCAGCAAATGTCATTCACTCACTCACTCACAGGCAGGCAGCACAGATCATCCAAACACAAGACACACCTGGACGTCCTTCAGCGGTGGTAGTGGTAGAGGTGGTGAGGCTCTCGCCCCGAAAATTATTGATGGCTCGAGACAGACGAGTGGAGTGGCGCACAATCGAACACACACATACACAGGCAGGCAGGCAGGCAGGCAGCCAGGAGGGAGGGTGGGGTCAGGTAGCTAGGCCTTTACACACACCACATGGTCATCATGAACGAGGTAGAGTGTCGTCTGCACAAATGCACCAACAGAGGGACGCTGTACAGCGCACAGACAGGGCCGACACACACACACACGCACATGGAGAGAGCATCATAACACGCCACGCCACGCCACACCACAGCATACCACTAGCACCACACACAGGAACACAGACAGGTATAACACGTACACTAGATAGAAGGAGCATGGGTGGATAAAACGGCAACCTGCACACGGGATGCGATTGATGCTCCTCCACACACACCCTCACAGCTCACTCTCACGACTGACTGATCCAGCCATTGATCCATCAAACAATCATCGCCACGCCACGCCACGCCCCATCTAACACTTTACACCCACTCCCGCACGTACACATGGACAGTACTGACGGCTCGCTCTCATGCAGACCCCGCCCCGCCCCGCCCGGATGTAAATCACGCGTAAAAACGATTCGGGAGCGATGGACGATGGATGGTGGTGCGAATCGCTCTGTCTTTCCGCAGGCTGAGGCAGGTAACCCCTCCTCTCTCTCTCTCTCTCTCTCTCTCTCGCTAGTACTGGACCGTACGATCAACCACCCCCCGCCCGACAGTGGGCATATGCGGCTGTCTGCCTGCCTGCCTCACAGCTACCTCTATTCTCACTCCTGGTCGGCTTGTCCATCCATCCATCCATCGATGAGCCACCGTGCTGTTGTTTGTGTTGGTGCGTAGACCGGCCGTCGTACACTTACGCGGCAGACTAAATGGATAGACCGACAGCAATCCATCCATCCATCCGTCCATCCATCCAATACCACCACCGACGTAACTAGCTAGGGACTGTACTATGTCTGGCTGGTTGCGATGACACCAATGTGTGTGACGCCACACACCCAGTCCGACACCCACCACGCCCATCCCGCTTGCTCGCTGTGTTGAAAACCATGTGGCCGGCCGGCCGCCCCCACAAGCCAGCCCCCTTTGCCCTGTAGTGGTAGTGAGTGAATATACAGGTTATGTTATGTTATGCACCATTGTCATACAGACACCCGTGTAGAGTAAGGTACGGTACGATACGTGTGAACGTAATGCGTATGCAGGCATGGATGGATGGAGTGGTGGATTGGTGGGTGGGGTGGATGGTGGTGTCGGCCACACAACAGACAGACAGACAGACATACGGACATACAGACGTACATACGGCCATAGATAGGAAGATACACTCACTCATCATGAAATAGATCCATGTTAGTTATATACGGTACTCGCTGATACAGACAAGATAGATATTGTACGCACCCAGCCCTTTCCCCTCCCTCCCTCCCTCCCTCCAAACAACTCAATTAAAGCCACACATGGGCTGGCTCACGATACTCCGTCCAGCCTCTCCTCTCTCCACACCCATCCACACCAACACCCACAACGCAAAACCCCCCTCCCTCCCCCTCCATCCGTCCCTCCCTCCCCGTCTGTCAGTCTGTGAGTGGGCATGTTATGTCGATCACTCTTCGTATCTCTGCTGCGACACGAAGATGATGGGCGAGGCGTCGTGCGCCCCGACGGGGGACTGCTGCGCCATCGGCATGCTCGTCGACGGCATGGGAGTGCTCACCACCGAGGGCGGCTGGGGGAGCGGCGGCTGGGCCATCTGATGCTGTTGCTGCTGCTGTTGGGCCTGGTTGGTGACGCTCCTCCTCTGCTGGCGCTGCCTCGAGTGGCCGCCTCCATTGGTCGACTGCACGGGCGAGGGGGACGAGAGGCCCGCCACCGTGACGAAGCCGGCGGGGCTGTATGCGTAGCTGCCGGCAGTGGTGCTGGTGGTTTCGCCGCCGGGGGGAGTGCGGCCCTCGCTGTTCGTGGCGGTGGGGGTGCGCTGCGTGGAGGCCACCTCTGCGGGGCGCACGAAGGGCACCGGGTGGGAGGTGCGTGGGAGGGACGGCATGTGCAGCGGGATGCCGCTGTCGGTGGCGGGGGGAGGGGGAGGGAAGCTCCCGGGAGGACCGGCCTGAATGTGCATCTCCGACTGAGGCTGCATTCGCACACAAGGGAGGGAAGACACACTCACTCATCTGCAATCAGTCAATGTCCTGACTGGCCCTCCCGCCCTTCTCACTCACTCACTCACTCACCTGTCCGTGCATGGGCATGGGAGGGTATCCCTGTGAGCCACTAACCATAACGTCCGACACACCAGTGGGCCCCGTGCCCATCGCGAACATCCCCGGGCCGGCCTGGTCCATTCGATACATGGGCGACGTTGCGTATGCCGCCTGCCCGTACCCATAACCGCTCATGTCGAACTCGGGCTGCTGCTGCTGCTGCTGCTGGTGGTGGAACGCCCCAGGCGGCCCCGGCTGCATCTTCTGGGTCGAGTGGCCGCCACTAGGAGGGGGCGGTGGGTAGTTGGTGCGCGGTGGGGGAGGGGGTGCCATGGGGGGTGGTGGCGGGTATGCACCGCCAGTCGATGGCGTGATCTGGACGATGGCGTTGCGCTGGGCCATGGGGGCGCCCTGCTGGAAGCCGAAGTCCTCCATGCGTGGCGCCGGCTGGCTGGCGTAGGGGTAGTCGTAGTAGCCGCCCGGGTAGCCCTCCCACCCACCCTGCATCCCATACGCGGGCGCCCCGGCAGCTACGTCGGAGGGGAACACCTGGATGGGCGACGTCTGGTATGGCGGCATGGCACCCATGCCCATGACGGGCTCAGCAGTAGCGGGGGGGAAGAACGAGGACGAGTGTCTTGCCTTGCTGCCTCCGTAGCGGCCCGACGACCGCCGCCCGCCCTTGTTGTCGATGGCCATGCCGACGCCAGGAGAGCCACCCTCGGGGATGATCATGTCGCCAGTCTGGCCCCTCTTGCGTCCGTTCCTGCTGCGCACCTTGCCGCTGTTGCTGCGGGAGGGGCCGCGGTGCTCCGGCTCGGGCTCCTCACTGTGGTCCATGCTGCCGCTCACCTCCTTCTCGTGCTCCAGGGGACGCAGCCGCGCACCGTTGGCATCGGCGCTCTCGGGGTCGCGCGTCTGTGTGGGGTCGCTGTTGTCGGAGCCGCCCTCGCCCTGCGGAATGGGCACGCCACCCTCGTGGCCCACCTCCCCGACGCGGTGCTCCTGGCCCTGCATCATGGCCACCCGGCGTGCAGCGTCGCCTGGGTCGGAGAGTGCCCCGGGGCTCTTGGGCCGGCCTCTTCTCTCCATCTCCTGGCGAAACATCTCCGACTTGGACAGAGCCTGGTCCTGCTCCTGCGGGTGATGCTGCATCTGTCGCTGTGCAGCGGGGCTGCCGGCGATGGGCATGATGTTGTCGTCACGCCGACTGCCGGTGGAGGAGATTTGGCCGCTGCTGTCGCCCCGGGGGCGGCGGTAGGGCGGGTGCGCCATGGTGGTGGGAGGGTATCTGGTGCGCTGCATGCCCATGCCCATCCTGTTGTAGCCGTCTCGTATGGGGGAGTCGTATTGCTGCATGTATGGCGGGTAGGGGCCGATGCCGGCCCGCCCCAGCATCTCCCGGCTGTCCCTACGGCGGGGAGGGGCCTTCTTGGGACGCAGCTCCTCAGGGCCGTGGGCGTGGCGGCAGTTCGCACTGCATTGCACACACATAGGCAGCCAAGGCAAGGCAGGGCAGGGGAGGGCGTGTGAATGTGGGTGTGGGTGTGTGCAGTCATTGGTCTGTCTGTTTTGCTTGGCTGGGCTGGCTCACCCCTGTTCGCAGTGGCCCTTCTTCCAAAAAATACATAGCGATGTCTTGTAGAACTCCTCCGTCGAACGAAGCTCCTTCACACCTGCACATATATACGTCAGACAGACAGACAATGCCACCGTGCCGCCAGTCGTGTTGGTACCTGCCTGCCTGCCTGCCTGTCTGCCTGACACAACTCACCGTGGGCGAAGTTGCAGTTTTGGTCGTCGCAGAGGCCCTTCATGAACTCCTCGCACAACTTGGTCTGATTGACGCATGACATGACATCACACGGGCAACAGGTGTGTACACGCGCTGGCTTGCCGGCCTCACTGCCTGTGGGCATACCTTCCTGAGCTCTGGCTTCTGCTTCAGCTCGTCGCCTACACACACGACCACACAAAGGCAGAGAAGCAACCGATGAGACACCATTTCCCCCTGTGTGGATGCCCTGAGCCTACAGGAATGCGCGAAGCGGCACGTGGGACCTCTCAGGCACTTGCCCTGCAGCACAGCACAGAGAGAATCAATCAACAAAAGAATCGATCATTCGACAGGAAGTAGTCAGTCAGGTCAGCACGGATTGGCAGACCAGCCACACAAACAGGCTGACCACTATCTCCTCTCTCTGTGTGAGTGTACCTACCTGCAGCCAGTATCGGCAGTATCTGGTCTTGTGGAAGGGGTTCTCAGCCGGGTTCACACCCCCCTGGCCCGCACCTGGTGTTCCCGCCGCGGCACCCGTCACATCGACCGACAGTGCCTCGGGCATGCTGGCCGGTGTCGGTGCAGACTCGACGGGGATCTCCACGGGGATCTCCACAGCGGGAGTAGTTTGATCCACCTGGTCCATATGGACGACGGAGGTGATAGTGATGTCAGTTCTGTCCTCGAACAGCGACGATGAGGGTCAGTCAGCAACCCAAACCCCACAAACGTCACCCCTGCGGCTCGGCAAAAGCAAAGGCGCCGCGGACGTGACCAAAGGCCGGAGCTGAGAATGGCAGGTCGATCCGCACCACCGAAGGCCGGACGCTCCCTCGCTGGCTCCCTCACGCAGCGGTGGCCCTCTGGGGGGTGTTGCGCTGTGCGGCGGCAGGCTGGATGCTCTCACTACCGTGGAGCTGATGTGGTTCACTCGCACGCGGGACGGACGGCCTCTCTTCGCCAGCAAACGCACCACACACCCAGATCTATCACTAGATCTCCCCGGGAGGGGCAAAATGAACAGAAACTGACGGAGCGGAGTCCTGATTTGCGAGCTCAAGCTCGCAAGAGATCGCCACACAAGCTCGCAACCAGAGCGAGGAAAGAGGTGGAGGAGGAAGGGGCGTGAGCTCCTCCGGTGATCAGCCTACGCGTCGTTCATCAGTGTTCAAAGATCTCCCTTATGACGGAATGGAAGACAGCTCTTCCTCGGCACTCGGAGGAGGGTCCTGGCGGCTCTGGGGAGGCTGAGGAGCCATGCAGCTGCAGCAGCAACCACGACGCCAGCCTATCCGCTACCCATCGCTAATGCGACGGGTGCTGCAACTCGATGGATCTGTGGCCCTTGAAGATGAGCCTTGCTCATTAGCGCTGCAGAGTCAGATCTGCAGTTGATGGATCCTCGAGACAGAAGCACACGTGTGTGTCATGTGTGTTGGTCAATGCATTGCAGGTAGACTGATCATTGTGTGCGTTGAGTGCTCTTGGCAATGTGCGTGTGTGTGTGTGTGTGTGTGGATAGATGAGTGCAGGATTTCCGCGTTTGACTCACCAACAGGGCACCAAAGAAAAGTCGTAGGTAATGGATCCTACCGGGCACTGTGAGGGAGCTCATACCACACACGGCACGGTGGATGTGCTGTTTCTGCATATGTGCGGTGCATGTCACCGGAGCACCAAGGACGGGGATGGCCGTGCTGTGTTTGAGAATGATTTCTGGCCGACAGTCGACGACATGGCGCAGCCAGAGTTTGCTGGCTGATCCGAATGCCAAGCCGCAGGGCCTGACCATGACCCTGGCAAGAAGCAGTTGCAGAGAAGAGCCAGCAAGCTTAGACAGAGTACATAGCATAGCAACGAAAGGTTGACCTCAGAGGCTTCAGATAGACAATGAGCTTCTTCACCTTTCCATCCATCCATCCATCCAGGACAGGGGATACTGCGGGTATGTGGCCACACCAGCCAACGAGGCACGACCGCGAGGCGGACTGCTAGATGAACGCCTGTTGCGTGTGGTGGTTTGTGCAGCTGGATGTGATGTAGCGTATGTGTGGCTGGGTGTGTGCAGTGCGTGTGACCTTGACGGTTGACCGAGCCAGGTCTGGATTATCTTGTTGAACCTTTGAGAACCGCTCGATTGTCTTTTGTCCGACCGACATCACCCTCTCTCTCACTCACACACACATTCGCAGCCACGCACGAGCCTCCCCCTTTGAAACCGACGCAAGCACGCTATAGTCAGTGACGCATAACTCCCCTCCCCGATCTCTCCTTCCTCTCTCCCTCTCCCTCGCAGTCACACATGGCCCCGAACAAACAGTGAGCCCAATGCCCTTCCTCCCCCATTTGACGCATACTGTCTGTCATTCTCTCGCTGGCGTGTTCGGTGAGTCATATTCACTGCTGTCTATCAGGCGCACACACACACACTCACACACACTCCCTGTGCATCACAAGCAAACAGCCGGACAGCCAGGCGTATAAGCCAAGAAGTCGAGATGTGTCCACCGGCCGGCCACCTCGCCAGCGTGACACCATGGCAGCCAGGTGGAGACATCTCTGACGAAATGCAAACAGTCGAGGAAACGGTCAGTCAGTCAGCTCATCCATACAAATGTACTCACCCACCCTCTCCCCCCCTCCCATCCCTCCCAACGTCCCAAAACACAAAACAGACGTCCAGGACGCCCTCCCGTGGGCCATCTCCTAGTGCCGACCGCGGCTCTCACCTGCTGCGCCTCCTCGCCCGTTGCGTCCTCTCAGCCGGCCCCCGTTGCCTCCTGGCCCGCCCCTCGGGCCGCGCCATCCGCCGCCCCGCCCGTTCTGCCGATTGTCTTCGTTGCGGCGGTAACTGTGCTGCTGTCCATTGGCACCTGGGCTGGGGAGGATGGTGGGGAATCTCTGCTGCTGCTGTTGCTGCTGGTTGGCGTGGGGCTGGGCATTGCCGTACTGGTTCATCTGGCCGTAGTTGGCACCGTAGGCATTGTAACCCGGCCCATAGCCGCCATACGCCGGCTGTTGGTGGTGGGGATGGTGCTGGTGCTGGTGCTGATAGTGCTGGTGTTGCTGCTGAGCGGCATACATGTTGGCGGCCCTACTGGCGTTGGCCCCTGCCCAGCCTCCATAGCCGCCCTGGTGCTGCACACACACATACGCACATACACACAGGTGCTTACACACAATCATAGTGTATGTGTGCATTCTTTCCTCACCTCATGGGCGGGTGGCGGGGGGAAGTTGGCGATGGCCGTGGCGGACTCGTGGACCAACGGCGTCGGATCGAACTGGATGGGCGGGGGTGGCGGGGGAGCAGCCGGACCGAACAGTTGGGGCATCATGGGCATCATGGAGCCTGGCTGCATGCCGTTGCCCATGGCCGGGAGGGCCATCATGGGGAGAGGGGTATGCGGGAAGAGGGCGCAGGCGGCGCCGCTGGCATCATCTGCTGGGGGGGCACAAATGGCTGCACCATCACCGGGTCCCCTCCCTCACCACCACCGACGCGCTGCACCACAGCCGGAGGCGCCAACACCGCCTCCCCCTCCCCCTGCCCCTGCCCATCTCGTCCCTCAGCACCAGTAGCAGCGCCCTGCTGCGCCCCAGCCGGGGGGAACTGCGGCGTCTCCATGGCCACGGCAATGGGTGGCGGGGGAGGGAGGGAGTGGGCCGAGTTGGGCATGGACGGCGGCACGAACGCGGGCATTGGCTGCAGCTGAGGCTGAGCAACAATACCTGCGGGGGACGCCTCACCATTGTTGAACTGGCCGAGTGCTGCTGCAGGGTGAGAGGGGGGACCGACCATCACATCACCCTCTTGCTGCTGCTGCTGCTGCTGCTGTACTCCCTGGCCCCCCTGCTGTGGCTGTTGCTGTGGCTCCACTGGCTGTTGCTGCTGTTCAGCCACTTGGGAGGAAGTTCGGCTCACTACCGGCGTCCGCTTCCAGGCGGTAGTTGGGGGGAGGGCTGTAGTAGCCCGGTCGGTCCCCGCCCTCCGGCTGCATGCCGAAGTAAGCACGGGGTTGGAAGGCCTCAGGAGGCTGGCGGCCGCCGTGCAGCTCGACATTCTGCCCCAACCACTGCATGGTGTCAACCATGACGGCCTCCTCGGCGGTCTCACCCTGTTGGCACGGCGGCGGCTGCATACAGAGAGAGGGAGCGATGGTTTGAGTGCTGTCAGAATCCGGTGTGGCATTGTGGATTGTCTTACTTGGTCTGTGCTTTGCTGATGGTGGTCAGCAGGAGGCTGCTCCGGATCAGGTGCCGGCGGCTCGTCAGCAGGCCGCTCGTCAGGTTGCTCCTCAGCAGCGTCATCTCCAGACAACTCGGCAGCAGCATCAGGAGGCGATGGCCCGTCCTCTGTCTGCGCCTCAACACTCTGCAGACACACAGAGAGGAATAATGACACACAGGGGAACCAGGGAATGTGACAGGCACAGAGGTGCTCCCGTGGCCTGCCTACCCTCCCTGCTCACCTCAACAACGACAATCTCCGTCTGGGTCGTAGCATGCCCCTTGCCCTTCGCCCCCTCACTCCCCACCCCCTCCCTCGCAGCCTTGAGGCACTCGTCTCTCAACTTGACCAGCATCGCCATCTCGTGCTCCATCCGCAACTTGCTCTTGACCTTCTCGGCCTCCTCCCGCGACAACGTGTGGGGCTGCCGTGCCTCCAGCCGAGCGATGGCGTCGAGGTTTTTCCGGCACTTCTTGATCGCCTTGATGACGATGCTGAAGCTGAGCTCGTGCTCCTTCAGGTAATTGATGAGCCGCTCGTCGTCCTCCTGCCCGGCTGACTGCCCCTCTCCGTCCTCCTTGGGCGTCGTGTCGGTGTCCTGCGGCGTCTCCTCGGCCGGGGTGCTGCTGTCGTCCGCTGATGCCGGCTCTTGGTCGATGCCCGGCTCGTTCTCGGGGCCTTGGTCGTCTCCTGGTGGGAGGTTGGGGGCATCAGGTGCGGCCGGCTGGGGGGCGTTGGCATTCGTCGTGGGCGATGCGTCGGGGGATGGCGAGGGGGATGTTGGGGCTTGGGCGGGCGAAGCGGCCGGAGCGGCCTGTGACTTGTTCTGTAGGCACACAGAGACCACAGGGACGTAAGAGAGGCGTGTGGATGGTCAGAATGTGAGAGCATGAGAATCATCCCGTGCATTTCTCACCTTGGTCTTGTTCTTCTTCTTCCCCATGACGACAGGCTGGTGGGGATCACGGCTGAGGCTCTCTTCTTCGTGGGCCTCACTGAAAACAGAGGGGAGAAAGGTGGAGAGGATCTCAACGGCAAAGCTCGCGCCGTTGCAAGCTCGCAGACAGGGCCGCTCTCTTCCGAACTGTCACATTCCCCCGCCCTGGCCATTCGTTTCTATTGCTTTATTCGGCCGTGTCAACGATGAGCTCTCCTCAGTTTGGCGCGTCTGACCACATCGTGACGCCGTCCCATCCGCACACAGCGCAGATCCTCGCAGGCGGCAACGAGCACCACGCACCAGCCGCCCGCAACGGCCCTGTCAAGGCTGGCTCGGAGCAGCAAGCGCCATCCGCGAGCGTCCCCCGCCCAGATCCCGTGAGCCACGAGGTGCCGCACGAGCCGCACGGAGGAATGCTGCACATTGGTCAGGACCCTCCCATCGACGGACTGCCGCCCCACAGCGAGGAAGGTGAAAGCGCTCTTCGCGCGCTGGCGTCTGATCCGACCACGAGGAGCCTCATGGCGCTGCTCACCAAGAAGGAGACCCGCATCAGGGAGCTGGAAGCGGAAAATTCGAGGCTCAGGAGGGCGATCGGCGGCAAGACTGCTCCCGAGGGCGAGGCGGCTCAGGGTGCCGTTGTGGAGCGGCTGGCGGCGTTGGAGCTCGGTGTGTCGGCAATCTGGAGCCACCTGTCTGGCGGCAAGCCCCTCCCTGGTGATGGCCCTCGCTCTGATGCGTCTGCCGTGTCGACTCTCGAAGGCACCTTTGGAGGCACCTTCAGAGCGTAGAGAATGTGTGTGTGTGCGGTCGGTCTGTTTGCTGCTGTGTTGGTGTGCTCGAGTGGTTTTATGTGATGAAGGAAGGTGAGGGTGACAGATGGGTGTACAGGTGTTGGGTGCGTCATTTTTCCCTCGGACAGGTACATCTGCTGCTGGTGTGACATTTTTTCCTGACCAGGTCGCCCTCTTTATTCATGCTGCTCACTGCGCCAGGCTCCCCTTGTCTTCTCGTGCCTCCTTCCGCTGTCGATTATCCATTGATGCAGCTGCGCTGGTGTTTCACATCACTGCTGCAGTCAAGGAAGACTGACAACAGGAGAGAAGACAAGGGCACCATACAGATGGATTCATTCAAGTGCTTGTGATGTCAATATAGGAGTCAACATCGCTGCAAGACTCGTGGACATGTATATATGCAGCAATGCAGTCTTGACTTCAGGTCCTCACAATTCTTAGTATCTCTCTCACGTTGCTGCGCTGGTCCTCAATCACACTCTCACTATCCACACGCAAGTCGCTCCCACAGGTAGACGCAATATACTGACTAAACAGCACACTCCCACCACCCACACCAAAGTAGTATCGTTTGGACGCGAACAGCGCCACACCGCCTGTCTTGAGACCAGCCTTCAACACGGCAGCAATGTCACCAAAGCCCTCCTCTCTGTACAGCGTCTCGGCACTCAATATCACGTCACACGCATCGAGCTGCTCGCTGGCGAACAGCCGGGGCAGGGAAGGCCAGTCGCCACTCACGAAGCGGCATCTTGAAGCGTCGGAGGGAACGTTGAGGGCCACATTCGGGGCAGTGATGTTGTGCAAGACAGCCGGATTGAGGTCTTGGAAGGTGCAGCTCTTGGCCCCATGCTGCAGCGCAAAGAGGGCAGGCAGGCCATGGCCACAACCTGCCAGACAGAATGACAGAATGATAGGTGCATGTCTGCAACTGATTCATCCGCTGACCTAGCTCCATGACGACCTTGTCAGCACACCAATCAACGCCCTCCTGCCTCTGCCGGGCCATGAAGGCAACCAAGTCGCGTGACCCTTCCCAGATCTGCACTCCTCCTTCATACACGCCCTTCTCAACCTGCAATTAACACCACCACAGCCAGCCACTGTCCCTGTGGATGTCGTGTGTGACGCGATGCGCACCTCTACGTTAGCGTCAGGTTGCGGCAGCACAACGCAAAAGGTCATAGCTGCCTCCTGGCTGCCGCCGATGGGCACAGATACAGCCGTTCCAGCCGCCTCCTTCTCCTTGTCACCATCGAAGTGCGGAAAGGCTACGCTTTCAATCATTGCACAACTGCTCGTCGATCGTTTCCACTCACCGCTTGGCAAGCTTAGCTCGCAAGGCTCTTGGCCGTTCCTTCCGTCTGCTTCTTTTCCGCACTCTGTGGATGCATACCAGAGAAATGACAAGTGTCATGATTCAGTGGATGTGCCTGACCGCTTGTCTTTCGAGCGGACTGAGACAAAGTGGTTCGCTCTGGTTGCTTGGTGGGTGTTGCTTCGGTGTTCGGACGATTTGGCGTTGCAGATGGTTTTGTGCAGTAAGATGATTGTGTGTCGAGTCAACGCCTAATCCCTCATGCATGTATGCGCATGCGCGCAAACATGAGATACCGTGAACGTCGCATGCATGAAGAATGTGAGCAGATGTCAATGCAAGTCAAAAACAATCGTTCCGTGGGCTCCTATTTCTTTTCCTCTCTTGGCGTCGGGGTGATGGCAAGAACCACCTTGTCTGTCCCCTCCTGTCTTTCTCCCGCTCCTCCATCCTCCTGATTTGGCGAGTTCGGCCGGCGCGAGCCAGGCATCCACCTCTCGCTGCTGCTGTTCAAAGACGGAAGACGTCCAGCTGCTATCGGACAAAAGAGAGAGAGGGAGAGAGAGAGAGAGACACGCAAATGGGAGCATCCATATTTGGACCTCTTGGCACCTACCTCCATTCGTCTGTTTCCCATTTGCGGCTTGTGGTCCGGCGCTGGTCTGCTGCCCTCCTTCATCTTCAGCACCGCCCTCGCCCTCATTGCCTGCAACACCAGGCTGGACACGCCTGATTGGCGTGCCTCCAATGGACAGATCGACACCCCCTGCCTGTCTCGACGTGTGTGGGGGGTTGCTGGTGTCGGGGCTCAGCACGGGTGGCAGCGAGGCACGAGCTGTATTTGGCGGCAGAGCCGGCATCCCGACATTGTGGTGTTGCTGTGAGGCGTCCAGCTGTGCCATCGATCCGTTGGCTGTTGGGATGAGCGGGAGTGTGGTGCCGGCGGGAGGGAGGCTGCTGGCGGGGGGAGGGAGTGTGGGGGGCGGCTCGCGCGGCGGGAGCTTCTTCCATGTGCTAGGGCCTCCTGTTGTGGCTGCATACAGACACAGCGACATCACCAGACATGCACATACAAGAGCAAGCCATTTATTGGCCATCCGTGTTACTCGCTAGTTGGTCAATTTCCCTATCACACGAGGCGCAGAGAGTGCCCTGCAGGGGCTTCCGCGAGAGGAGAGTCCTGAAGCCGTCTTTTCCCCCGATGTACCTCTCAAAGTCCTCGAGCCGCTCCTTCAGCTTCTGCCAGTCCGTCAGGTCCACCTTGGTCTTCAGCGCCGCCGCATCCGCCTTGCGGCTGAGGCGATCACGCACCTCGTCAAAGGCCGGCGCCAGGCGCAGGTCAAACAGCCGCAGCTGGCGGGCCATCTCCTCCCGTGTCTCCACCCTGAAATCGTCGAGCTGCTCCTGGATGTCTGCCCCGCTGGCGGCACTTGTCATGGCTGCCTTCAGACTCTCGATCGCCTCTCCCAGCTCCGGCTGCCCGCCCCGTTTCTTGGCGAGACGAGTCTTGCCGCCACTGGCTGCCATCGGGTCTTTGGTGTCCTTCTCGTCCAGTCGGTGCTGCACTGCGTCGAGGGACTGGGCGAACTCGGCAAAGGCCTCACGGACGGTGGCGTGCCGGGCGAACTTCTCTGCGTGTAGCTTCAGGACCGCATCGATGCGGCGGAGGTGGTCGGTAGAAGCGTCTGCGTCTTTTTGGATGGCGCGGGTGAGGCCAACCACCTTCTTGAGCTCGGCTGCATCCTTCTCGCGCTCGTCAGTCATGGCGCGGAAACGGGCCTGAAGTCTGCATCGCAAACACAAAGACAGTGAGTGTTGGTCCATGCCATGCATGTCTCAGGCTGTCTTCTCTGTTTGAGTCACTTTGCGAGTTGCGCCGTGACTTCTTCGTTTCTCTCGATCTCGCGGTTGAATTCATCTATCTTGTTCAAAGTGCCACCCGTCAGCTCAGCGTCTTCACGCGTCATGCCACGGCCCTGTAGCAACAAACAAATCACATGCCACTCGCTTCCGCTCATTTCCGACTCACTCCTTTCTTGGCGAATTGCAGTGTGGCCTCCATCTGTCTCTGCAGACCGATGAGTCGGTCCTCGAAGTTTAGAAGGGCACGACGGACAGCCTCCTCGCTCACAGTGCCGCTAAGCAGGCTGCGGTTGTCGTGCAAAGACCGATCCATCACCTTCACCTGCATAGACGAGGGACGACCGAGACACGGATTTGCGACACGCTTTCGCGAACGAGCTGTGACCTTTTCGGCGATTCGTTCGAGATCTTCCATGTTTGCCTTCTTGTAGAGCACCTCGTTGCGTAGGCTCTTAACGGCCTCCTTGGCCTCCCACGCCATCTGCTTTAAATTGCCGCTTACCGTCTTGAACTCCAGACCCAGATTGCCAAAGTCCTCCTTCATCCTGACAGGCAGACAGGCACGCAGGGCAGACAATGGCCACCAAGTCCGTGTGCGCGTGTGTGCGCGTTGTTCGCTTGCTCACTTGTATATCTGTCCGGCCTTGTCCGTCACGTCTCCCGACAAGACCTGGAACTCGGCATTCAGTGTGCTCATGCTCGAGCTCAGCTCCGCCAACTCAAAAGCCTGAAAGCAAGTACAGAAATTTGGAAGGCTTCCCTTCTTTCCATCAGTGTGCCACCTCGAGGTTCTTCATTTTCTCTTCCAGGTCGAATATTCTGTGATGGTCCATGTTGATCTGCCGCTGAAGGGACTGCGACAGCTCCTGTCCCTCCACGCCCATCCCTGTGGAGCCCTCGAAGACCCCCGTCGGCTTCTTGCGAATGGCGGCGGCGTCTGGCGGCGGCCCGACGAGTGGGCCTCTGCCGTTCGAGGAGCCTCTCGACTCGCGCACGCCCTGCATGATCCCTGCGAGCCGAGAGGGAGCCTCAGATCCGCTAGAACTGTCACTGAGAAACAGATATACGTGATTGATTGCGTGATTATCTCTGTTAGTGCTTCTGTACAGGTGTTTGGTGATTTCGAGGAGGTGTGTGTGTGCGAGTATCTCCTCGTGCTTCTTCTTATGAGCCTCCACGTCCGTCTTGAGTGCCATGCCGAGGGCCTCCGTTCTGACACATTTTCAGGAGAGACACCTGTCACTCTCACCGTATGCATTCACATACCGTTTGATTTTCTCGTTCAGCTCCACAATGCTCTCGTCGTCGATTCGAGGTACGGCGTGATCCCCTTCCTCTTGTACCATGTCTTCTTCCTCCTCTTCGAGCTCGATCCGACTCTTGCGCGCGCTCTCGCTCGTCGTGACGATGGCGTCGATTCGCGTCTGCTGGGCGATCGCCACACTCTTGGCTCTCCCCTTGGGACGCAACCCGCTGCCGGCATCGCCCTCACCGCTCTCATCTCCCTCAGACAGTCCATGCACCACCTGGCCCTCCATGAACTCGGAACGGCGCTTCTTGTGCCTGAATGAACTGAAGGCTACGCTCAGCCGCTGGCAATCGCGTTTGACCGTCTTGAGCTCCTTCTCGTTGTCATCGATTATCCGTTTTAGCGCATCTACGTCCTTCTTGGTCGCAGCCTGACCAATGGCAGCCAAACTCACTGAGAATGGGCGTTGTTTGGCAGGTGTATGCATACCACTGGCAGCCCGGTTCCTTCCACGGCCTCTGGTGGCGGGGGCGGCGGCTCGGCGATGCCCAGGTCGAAGTGGTCATAGTTGTCCTCCAGGTCACGGGCGTTAGTGAGGGCCTGCACTATCATGTCCTTAACAACCTCACGCTCCTGACGAAGCCAGTACTTGAGACTCGCATCAAACCTGACGTATGCAGAGACTTGTTGTCCACAGCAGGTTGGCATGGTGCGTATGCATTCGCTCATGCATGCCTCTTAACGGCTTGGAAGCGCTTCTCGAACTCTGCTTGCTGCTGGGCCGCTCTGGGCGTCAACTCGGCATCGGACGCCACTGCGCTCTCATCTGACCCGCTGGCATCACTGCGGGGCCTGTTGCGGGGGCTCGGCGCTGGAGACATGCCTTTCTGCCTCAGCAGCTCCTGAAAACCAATATGAATGCTCCTCGTCATCCAGTGACGATGAACACGTGTCCGTTTGTATGTGCCTTACCTGCAGCTGTGCGACTTTGGCAGGCAGCTGTCTGACCGATGCCATCTCTGGCCCCGACATGACCTCGTCTCTCAGGCGGTCGATCAGATCCTCCGTGTGCTCGTCGCCGCCCAAAACACTGGCCATCACCTCCAAGCGCTCCAGACGTTGCTTGAACTCCTGCAGGCTCCCATGATCCGGAGTGAGGCGGCTCTCGGCACCGACCACGAGGATGTCTGGCTGCTTGTCAGGGGTGCCTCTGGTGCCTGGCCGGGATCCCTTGCTGCTGCCACTGCCACTGCCTTCTGAACAGGGAAGAGGAATACAGATGAACTGCATTGATGACGGCAGAGGAGATTTCCTCCCTCATCGCTCACCCGTGTCCTTTTCTCTTTCGTGCTGTAGGTTCTTTTCGGTCAGCTGGCGTCTCTTGGTACCCTCGGACAGCAGCTGCCGCTCCGCATCGGCGAGCTTCTCTTCAAGCTTAGCCACGCGCTGACACACCGCCTCAAAAGGCATGTCTCCTGTGATCTGCACAGAACAAGAACCGGCCGCTTCCATCATCAAGAAGTATGTTCGGTTCTTTCTACCGCTGGCGATCCTTTGTCGCTCTCCACGACCTTCAGGCTCTTCGCGCTGCCCTCCGACTCCGGGCGTTTGTCCGTCTCTGTCTGTATGTTCTTGAGGCTGTCGAGCCCCTTGGCCAGCTTCTCTATCTTGCCCAGGAGGTCTGACTTGAGGACGCTGACTGCATGGGCCGAGGCCCTGGTGCCTGGCTGGCCAGGCGCTGCTTCTCCCTCCTGCTGCGCCAGGACAGCCACCTGCAATTCAGGGGATGATCAGGGGAGGCGGTATCATGCCTCATCGAATTCAGGAGCATGATACCAGGCCATGGAGCTGACGCTGCATCGATGAGACACGCTCCTGCAATTCAGCCACGGTTCCGCTGTCCCCAGGTGGGCGCAGGACCGGCGACAAAGACGAGATGACGGGAGTAGTGCCCACAAAGGTCTGGAGGATGACAACCGACAGATGCAGCAGACCAGAAGGACAAGGACGTAGGATCTGCCTGCCTGGGAGCGGGGGGCGAGCTGCGGGGGCGGCGACTCCTCCCTCCCGTGGGCGCTCCTGATGAAGAAAAAGCGCCAGGTACGAAGACCACAGCCTCAGGCACTTCCCGGTCCCTCAAGATTCGCTCACCTGAGTTTCCTTTCAGGTGAGATGAGGTGAGGCGGCGGTGACTCTCCTTCGGGCACCGACGGTGGCTGTTCGGGCGAGGCTGCATCAGGGCCTTCGGGGGAAGCCATCTTGCGCTCGATGCTGCCCAACACCTGAGCAGCAGCAGGGAGGGATGCTGTGCATACCCGCTGCAGAATATGAGGCACCTCACACGTACCTGAGCAGCCTGGTCTGCTTCCGTGCTGAGTTGTTCGGTGAGTTTTTGGAACTGCCGGTCGCCATTCTGAGCAACCGGCCTCCTGATGAGATGGGACCAGGAAACGTAGCAATGGTCCAAGTGTCGTGCATCGCCTTACGCATCCGTGAGGGCAGCAATCCGTTCCTGTTGTGCCCTTATCGTCTGTTCGTGCGACTGCAAGCAATAAGGCACGGAGGGGTCATGTGTTCAGCGGTGGTGATGGGCTGAATGCCTTGCTTTTGTGGATGCGGAGCTTACTTGTAGCTTTTGGACCACCCAGGTGAATGCTTGCTGCAGCCCCGATACATCGAAGAGTTTGGGGATGTCGAGGGGTGCGTCCAAGGGGGAGGGCATCCCCCCACCGTTGCTAGTGGACATCTCGTGAGCTCCGGAAGGAGAGGGGGAGGGAGGGGAGGGAAGAGGGAACGAGGAGGCGGGGGCACACAAACCTTTGGGGCCGCTCGACCGATTCTCGTCCGTTATGTTTTCTCTCTGTCTCTGTCTGTGAGTGTGTGTGTTATGTGTCTTTCTGGCCACAGAAAGTCCCGCCGTGTCCACCAGAAATATGCTCCCAGCACAGCATCCGAGACTCGCACTCACACACACTCACACCACCAGAAAGCAGAGAACAATGTCCACCTTCTTTGTACATACACCCACCGACACAAGAAATCTACAAACCAACATGGTCTCTTGACCAATTGGCTCACGAAACGACACGAAATGGCTGTAACCAGGCTGTTCCATGAATGCATGTGGGATAGGTCATGTCTCTCTTTCCCTTTCGCTCCTCTCTTTCCTCATCCCCACGTGTATGCATTGCAATGTATTCGTCACTGCGTGACGATGTAAAGCCAACAAATTCATGAATTACGGACATGTAGGTGTACCCCATGCCTCTCACATCGAGCAGTGAGGCCTGCGGCATGGACATATGGATTGATCCCAGGGACTCCTCTTTTGTTCTACACTCACTTGAGCACGGCGAATGCATCGGCGACGGTTTTGGCTGCCTTGAGTGCCGCCACGTCGATGGTTGGCTTGGCGCGGGCCAGTGCCTGAATCATCGACTCTTCCTCGGCTGTGCCACTCTCCACAAACGCACCAACGACGGTCGATCCCTAAGGAGAAACGCACACAGCCACACGTCATGGCCCAGTATCGGCTGGTATGTCTGTCTGCTGTCTGGCTGGTATGTCTGTCTCGTCGTGACTACCTCCATCCAGAATGCGGCCATGTGGTTGGCACCAGGGTCACGGACGGTGAGAGTCTCATCTGCGCGACGACACGCAAGGGAGGTGCGTGTCACTGATGTACTGATCTGATTTGGTCGATGCTCACTTGACTGCTGGCCATAGAACTTCCACGACAGGTCGAACTCTCGCGAGTAGAAGTACGGCAGATAGGCATAGTCGCTCGTCTCCTTGCCCAATATCACGTTCACACAGTGCATCGCTGAACGACGCGCGTGCTGTCAACACACACAACCACACACAACCATGAGCTCCCGACGAACTGTTCAGTGGGTGCGAGCAGGCAGGCATACGTCCACATGTTCCACCCTGCTGGAAACGCCTCCCAGAAACTGAAGGCAATCAGGACACAAACTTCAACATCTGCATGTTTCAGTTGTCTGCATCCCGTCTTACAGCGTTGGGGAACGTCGCGAGATCGCCGACGGCGTAGACATCAGGAATGGAGGACTGAAACCGTCCGTTGACCTTCACCGCCCGCGCCTCCATATCCAACTTGTCCTGACACAGCTCTACGTTGGGCCTGCCAGATACGCAGAGGCACATCGGGAGTGCTGGATGGGTCATATTTGCTGGCTGATGCGATGCGTCTCCTTACTTCGCCCCGACGCCCACGACGACGACATCGCAGGGCACCTTCTCGCCGTTCTTCAGGTGAGCCTCCTTCACCTTGCTGCAGATGGACAGAGAGGGAACAACGGCCATCCAAAGCTTTTTGATTGATGCCTCATGGGCTCTTCTCCGTCACCCGTTGCTGTCGCCGACGAATCCTGAGGCAACAGTGCCCTTGATCATCTTGATCTGAAACACATACAGACAGACAGGTAAAAAGTGATCGATGTCAAAGCGTGCGATCGATGCACATCCTGCCTGCAGTCAGTGCTGATTACCCCCTTCTGCGCATAGACTTCCTCGTACAAAGCTGCCATTTCGGGCGTGAAGAGGCGCTGATGCAGCCACGCAGCCAACAAGAGGGACCCACCCATTCAGTGGCGATCGCTCGATGGGAAGCTCGTCGGCTGACCTGCATGACGTGTGGCTCAGGGAACACCATAGTCACATGGAGACCCATGACCGTCATCGCCGCGGCACACTCGAGACCGATGTACCCGCCGCCCACGCACAGCGCCTGAAACACATAGACGCGCAAAGAGCGAGCTGCACCTACGTGGCCTCCTTCTCTCCTCTCCTGCATGTTGTCTGTCACCTTTTTGCCCTTGTTCTCGATCAGTGCGTCGAGCAGTGGCTGTGTGTCTTCGACCTCCCTGAGCGTGTAGATGCCCTTGAGTTTGGCGGCGTCGTCCATCTTCATGTCGGTCAGGGTGACAGGCCTGGCGCCCATGGCGAGGATGAGGTTCTTGTATCCGATGGTGCCGGCCTTGTCGGTGGTGAGAGTTTTAGAGTCGAATGCGATGCTCGTCACGCTGGTGCTCAGGTACGTCTCGATGCCGTTCTCCACATACCTGATCAGACAGGGCGGGGCGTGATGCAATGTGTGGTGGCAGAGGGTCGTACAGTCCTGCCAGCCAGCCCACCACTGCTCTCCTTGGTTCTCGCCGCCGCTTCCCACACTGCATCCAGGGCACACAGACAGACAGACAGATAGACAGACAGACAGACAGACAGACAGAGAATGGATACGTGCAGTGAGTGACGGAGGCTGCTAGGGCAAGACACCTCACCAGACGTTGAATCCAGGGACTTTTGCCTTGTTCATGATGAAGCCTTTCGAGAGAGCGGGCCTCTCGTAGGGGTAGACAGCTTCGCGGCTTATCATTGCAACACTGAGATGCAATGCACAATCGGGCCACACGTGTGGTCGTGCACGGTGAGTCTGTCTGCCCAATGATGTACTTACGCGCCCTTGGCGGCGCCCAGCCTGACGAATTCGCGAGCGGCATAGCCGGCCGCCACGCCGCCGCCAACAATCACCGTCTCAAAGATCTTGTCCGCACCACCCATCTCGGTAGACAGGTCACTGCAGGCAAACAGGCACACAGAATGACGAGCATCTTTCGATTTTTCGAGCTGTCTTCTGACTGCGATCTGACCCAACGGCAGGGGCAGCAGACTTGGCCTCTTCAACGGTCCTCAATACCCTTTCTCTGTCGAAGCAGTTAGAAAGCACACCTACAACGAACAGAATCGGGAAAGACACTTGCAGAATGGAGAGATCTTCAAGCTTCATCGGCTCACCGCCCATAAAATGGCCTCACAGCACCTTTTTCCGCCAAGATCTCCCCCTGCCCTCAAAATCTCAAGCTCGCAAATGGATCGCTCTGGAAATGGCGACAGAAGGCGGCGGCGAAGGCGGCGCCTCCCCTCAGGTGATCCCCATCGCCAGCCTGCCGCTGGAGAACCTCGTGCAGCTCAAGGAGCAGGTGGAGCAGGAGATCATCAAACTCACCACCAGCGTCAATGGTTCAAGGCTGGCCTCCAACCGCTTCAAGGAGTCGGTGGCCGCACTCGACACCCTCACGCCCGAGAGCCGCGGCACGCAGGCCCTCATCCCCCTCACCCAGTCGGTCTATGTGCCTGGGGTGCTGTCCAACACGGAGGCGGTGCTGGTGGACGTCGGCACGGGCTACCACGTGCGCAAGTCGGTGCCTGATGCGGTCAAGTACTGCCAGCGGAAGGTGGACATGCTCAAGGACATGATGGCGCAGACGGCGGGGCCGCTGGCCGAGAAGAAGCGGTTCCTGCAGGCGGTTAACCTGCACATCCAGATGCAGACCGAGCAGAGGCGGGCACAGCAGAGAGAGCAACAGCAGCAGGGCGAGTGAGGGAGGCGGTCAGGAAGGGGGATCGGTAGGTATGTAGCTGCCTGCGTATGTGAGGGGTGGGGTGTGTACAGCCGGTGGATGGGTGAGTGAGCTGAGCTGTGTAGCATCTGTACGTATACCGGTAGTAGATGTGTTCCAAGGGACTCAGGCACCTCAGGCAGGCGTGTGCTCTCTCCGTCATCGTCGTTTGGCCACAGCAAGAGAGATCTGGACATGCACCGGACCTCTCTCGCTTGTGAGTAGATTGCCTTGACATGAGTGCGCACGAGCGATTGTGCACTGGACATTCGTCTCCATGGCTGGCAGACTCTCATTGATTGGATCTGTATCCTACATAGCTATACACGAACACAACTCGTCACCGAGAAGCGCTTCATTCCACCCACCGGTTCGACGTCAGGCACCCTCTTCACTATTTCTTCAATGAACAGACTGCCGCAGCAGCCGGCCGGACACGTGAGCGATAAGATAGACAGGTCCATCCATCCATCCATCCACTCACATGAGTCAAATTCATGAGCCGACAGACATGTAGGTGTCGACATACACATTGCGGTGAGGTCGGCATACATGTACACACACATGCGCTCACATACACGTGTCGTGTGTCTCGGTCGGTGGCCTCAGAACTATCTTCTGAGAGCGAGGTGCTAGCTGGCTGGCTTTCCCCCCTCCCTCCCTCCTCCCTCCCTCCCTCCCTCCCTCCCCCCCTATAGACATCTCAAATGAGCGAACTGGTGATCGATGGAAGCAAATATACATGTACGTACATGGCCCTCTCCTCGCCCCCCTCCTCCCCTTAATTCCTTCCTCTGCACAAATGGAAAGCGACCCTTCCCCTGCACACACCCTCCTTGTCACTCAGCAGCAGCAAGCGACCTTGTCTCTAGCTGGCCACGATGGGCGGACCGTTGCAGCTATCTCTCTTGGTTGGTGTCGTTGGTGCGAAGTGGCTATCTGCGCATGTTCCTGGCGCTGTCGACGTTGATGGGATGCGTTTGCTGCTCCCGCCTTCTTGCTAGCTCTAGGTTAGAGGCCTCCTCCCCGTCGCCGCCCTCACTTCTCTCACACGTGTCGTGATACTGCCACGCAATGTCGTCCTTCTTCGGTGGACTCAACAGCTGGACACAGACAGACAGACACACAGACAGACAGACAGAGACATGTATGGGCTGTCGTGTCGGGCAGGCAGGGAGTGGTGCGTCTGACGTGATAGAAGCTGCTGAGTGTGGCGGGCGAGTGCTGGATCTTGTCGACGTCAGCGAACACGCCGTCGCTTTCGATGCCGATGATGTTGCGGCCCCTCTCTATCTTGAAGTAGCCGTTGAGGCCCCAGTTGGTGCCCCAGCTGTTCTGAACCAACCAGTACCTCTGCACATTTAATACAGACACACAACACACATGGATGAATGAGATGGATGAGCGTGTGGCGGGCGGCGATGGCCCGGTCGCTGACTGACTGGCCATACCAGGGGGTTGGCTCCCTTCTCCAGCCCCCAGCCGACCAGCAGCACGGCATGGTCTACCTGACAGACAGAGGAAGGACAACACACACATAACCACGCTTAGTTATGGTGTACGTGTGATAGATTAGGGGATAAATGGATGGATGGATGGTGTCCACAACCCACAAACCGTACGTCCGTACCTTGATCCAGTCTGTGTGTTGGACCTCGCCCCCCTCGCTAAAGACGCCCTCATGGTAGTACATGAAGTCGGGCGTCGGCTCTATCGATACCGTTATGGGACCATTCCTGACCGACGCACACGAGTACATGTGGGAGGGGAGCACATTTGCACACGTGTGAGTGTGGGTGTAGGTGTGGTTACTTGTATAGCTCCTGCATCATGAGCTCCTCAGTGCATCCGCCGTAGTAGCCCCCCACATAGCCGTATCGCGCGACGCGGTACTTGGGTACCCGGGGATTGTCCAGGCACTGACGGAACGACTTAGCTACGTGGCCCTGGAGAGGAGACCACAGGACCATCATCCACGTGATGGTCGGCTCCCTCCATCCCTCCCTCATTCCCTGTCTCCCTGTCTGTCTGTCTGTCTGTCTGACCTTGTGGCATGAGTTGTCTTGTGCAGTGTATCCGCCGCATCGGCGGGGCAGCAGACCCACCTCACTCATCCACTTGACCACCTGCACACATAGTCTAGTAACATTTTCGCAGGTGGTCTCTCGTTCTCCCTCCCTCCCTCCTGACCTGACCGTACCATGAATGGGTATCCGCCTTTGCACCCCTGGTTGTATTCGCTGCACGACAGTCCAAACGCCTCGCTGAAACCGTCAAAGTCACGGTCGTCCGGATGCTTGATCTTCCACCTACACACACACACATGGCCGTCCACAAACACATGGACACATACACACAAACACCTGCCCTTCGCCGTTCGTGTGACGCACCGTGCATTGAGCATGTTAATGGTCGACACGAGGTAGCAGGATCCGCAGTCGCCCTGGTCCACTGCCGGTCGCATGAAGTTGGCCCCGCCCATCTGGCTGCCCCATGAGAAGTTGTCCATAAACTCTGCCGTGTCCACATCAGATCCCCTGTACAAGTGAGCAGACGGCTCGGAAATGGGCGCCTCGTCGCTATGCCGGTGCTGCGACGCAGTGCGGTTGGCATAGTGTTTGGAGGCGAGCGTCACAGACGCGGCTGTCTGGATGAAGTCCTCCGGGCTGATGGTGTGTGGATGGGCGGGCACAGCCATGTGGGGCGGGGGGAAGTGGCGCTGCTGTGCGTCCCTCGGGAGACCGGCCATTCGGTTGAGCTGCTCGAAGGACTTGCCGGCGAACTGCGGGTAGACGGCGGCCTTCCAGCTGCCCTTGTTGTGACTTATCACCCGATTCAGGTGGTCCACCAGCGTCTACACACACAACAGGATACGGTACGCTTAAGGCGTTCTCCGCTGATGCATCCATCCATCGTGGCCATGGGTGCATTGCATTCATTCCCCACCTGGTGCTGTGCGAGCGAGAGCGGCTTCTCTTTGTCGATAATGGCCTGCACGAACAGCATCGACAGCGGGCTCTCCCCGCCCCCCCGCCCATAGCCCTCTCGCGTCTCCAACTTAAGCCTTCCCGGCTCCCCACCACCCACACCCGGCTCCAGGGTCCCGCTCGGCCGCCGGGCACCTTTCCGCCGCCACGACAGCGAGGGGAATGCCAGCGGCATGAACTGGCGCCGAATGGCGTCCCTGGCACCACGAGCAACTCTGCCGAGTGCGGCACTGATGCCGGACCGGGAGTGCTGCACAGAGGACCTTGACATGACGATGTCTGTCCGCCGTTTGTCCAATGATGAGGGGGACTTCTTGTCCTCTGGTTGGTATCGCTTGGTCATGCGCCCCTTGTAGCAGCCCCACTTGTCGGTGGCCCAGTTGTGGAACCATCCCACCTCCGTCTCGGTGCAGATAGAATCCTTGGGCGTGTTTTGCTAGCAGACAGACGAGACGGCAGGTGTGTGTGCCGCACAGCACAAGGACAAACGCAGCGAGATATGATGCATGGACGCACGTGTGCAGTGTCTGTGGTGTGGTGTGGTCACACTCACTCACCCCAGGGAGGCTGGGCTGCACAAGGCGAAAGTGAGAGAAGGCCAGGAAGGTAAGGTCCTCTGCATTGACGTCCCAGGCCTCGTCGTAGACCATGGTCCAGGAGCAGCGGCTGCCGTCGTCCATCTCGCACTTGTTCGGCTCCGTCAGCTTCAACCCAATTGTCCTAGTGCCATTGAAGGAACCTGACACACACAGAGAGGTGAAGGATGAATGAGGGGGGCATCTCTCCCATCCGTCCATCCACCCACCCACTCACTGTGCAGAGGCTGGCATCGCTCGTCGTCAGGGTGTGAGTGGCCACAGCTGGTCCTGTGGTCGTACTCACGCGTCAGCTCAAACACCCACTCGCCAATGATGTCATCACGCTCACAATGAACAGGCAAGTCACCAACCACCGTGCCCAGCCAAGCCAGCACCGTCACCAAAGCCAAACGCCAACCGAGCCCCCAAACTCTCGCCGAAGGCTGCGAGGGAGCACACGCTGATGGACGCCCTGGTGCAGTGGGGAGGCGGCGGGGTGCCGTGGGCGGCGTATCGGCCATTGCAGAGGGCTCTTCGCTCGATGGAGAGGGGAGGGGGATCAGAGTGGGCGTTTTGGGGGTGAGCGGGATGAATGCAGGGGTGAGGGAATGACGAGCCGATGTCGCAGTGACGTTGTGTCCTCACTCTAGTCCCTCACCGCCCTCAAAAAGTCAGAAGCGCATCGGGATCAGTAGCAGAGAAACGTTGTTTTCGTCTTTGGCTGATGGTCCACGAATGCTCCACTTATCCTTGCTGTGTATGCACCTTCACGATCAGCTAATGCCTCCTCTTCATCGCAAACGTTTTCGGTCGAGGCCACTGGTGCGAGCTTATAATTGGTCAGGGCTGATGGGGCCAAATGACATCACACAACGAAACTGTGCAGTGGCGGCAGAGCAGCGCTGATTTGCAATGACGAATTGAGAGATCCAGTCGTCATTCGCGCTGACTTCATTTGACAGACTCGGTATGTAGCTCTGCCGCTGATCTGTGTGCAGGTATCTACAGCTCAACCGTACTCCACAGCTTGACTCAACTATGTACAGCTGCCTAGCCTAGTTACAACAAACGCTCTACACGCCTATCGCCGGTCCAGCGATGCATTCATGCGCTATCGACAGCCCCCCCTGTGCCACATCATCCCTTCACCATCATCCCAGTCGGAAATGAGCCAGACTACACTCGCGAATACACGTACACGAAGTCCTTCTGCACACACACACACAGAGGTAGAGGAAGACCCATCGCCGTGATGCCGAGCCAAGGCGGTCTGTGCCAGTTGCGTACCTCGCGCGAAGCTTCGTCGGACAAGTAGCGACTGATCCGGATATCGTCATCGATGTAGGTTGTTGTCATGCGCAGCTGATGGAAGAAAGACGCGCCCGTGTACGCAACGGCAAGATGGGTCTTTCACCCACCTCTGCTGCGCCTCGACGGAAGCGTTCGTAGACGCGCTGGGTGGGAAACACCACATTGGAGAGATACGGCACCCAAGAATCAGTGATCTGATTGGTGAATACCAATGCGCACCCACGTATACACACAACAAACACGACAGGTGTTGGTTGGTCGTTGCCGTTACCTTCTCGGTCTCGACGTCCAACCGAAGCACCTCGGGGTGCTTCCTGCTCTGCTGCACCTGAACAGCAAGGAGAGGAGGTGCAAACCATCACGTGGGCCCTTGATTCAGATGTCACAGAGTCGTCATCTCCCCCACCGTTGCGGTCGTTTCGAAGATGCCAGACCCAGCACCCGAGACCGATATGCGCATCCTGTTGACCAGCGAACCAACTCCCTCGCCATCGCTCAAACCTGACAAAGGTGTGGTGTGTCAGACGGCACACCCGCTCACCCACTCACCCACTCACTCACTCACTCACTCACCAGAGATCATCTGGACGGCCTCGCCCGTCCGTGTCACTGGGATCATGTCGCTCCACCGATAGGCCGACTCCACAAGATCACGCAGCCGCAGAAGGTCTGCTGCGACGCCGCCTGATTGGATGAAGCACGTTACAGGCAGACAGCATGATCTGGACAAACGAGTGATCCTTTTGGCATTCAGGCGGCGGGCGTACCGAATAGCTGTCGTGTGGCCCACCAGAAGGGCGATGAGCGCGTTGGATTCTCGCCAGAATACACCAGGCGCCACGTGCCTTCAAGCTGAACGAAGACAGTCGACAAGGAGAAAACAACCCCGTTTCCCCTTGTCCTTGAGTTGATGGTGGTTGTTTGTGTCGTACCAGTCTCGATGGCTCTTGGGTGGGGCTCAGGCGCTCCAGCCGTTCAATCATGGCCATCACATCTTGACGCTGAGCTGTCGTTGCCTGCTGACCACGGTCACTGAACACATACACATACGAATGCTCGCGTATTGATCCATCTCTCCCCCCCGCGCCGTTCGCACCATGCCGCCCCGATCTGCATTATGCCTCTCTTGAGGTCAAATGCCTGATCCATCTCCTCCCGCCTCGCCAGCTCTTCCCGAAGGCTCCTGAAGCCGTCTCGGATGCGCGTCAATGAGCTCTTGCGCGTCACCATGTCTTTGTTGCGTCGAGTGGCAGATCTCTGCGTCGGCCGCAGAGATGGTGGGTTGAATGCACCCACGGTGCAGCACAGGAGAAGGAGGAGGGTGGAGGGCACCATGGGCTGCTTGTGGCGCGTGGAGGATGCGATGAAGCGTTCGTCGGCTGAAATGAATAAAGGGACCGGTTCAATCGAGGGTAAGCGCAGGACTGGTGAGCGTGAGCCCGGGAGGAAGGGGTCAGCTGCTCCCTCCTCCGTGAAACGAAGGAGACGGGCAGCCCTCGGGCCTTGTCCTCTGCCCTTCTTTCTCCAAGGCAGGCAGGGGCGTTCCATCCCATAGATGCCGGTGCCTCAAGACTCGTAAGCAGCTCGTCTCGAGCCGGCTTCCTTTTCCACCGGACCCCCGGCCTCTCCTGCGAGATGCTGTCGCCCTGGTTCTTCCGGTGCAAAGAAGGCTCTCTATCTGAGCATCTGCCGCAGGAAGCGACGGTCTCTTGTCCGGTTTGAAGAGAAAGAAAGGCGCCATCCCGCGAGCTCATCCGGCGGCGTCAAGTTGCCGTTTTCCCGAGTTTCGAAGGGAATTCACGGTCGTTGGAGGACTGTGGTGGATCGAGGCTTTACCAAGGGGACAGTATGAGGCGTTTCTCCCGCTGAGGCTGCGTTTCGATCGGTGAGTCAAAGATCTGGCGTGACGGGCCTTCTGGGCCTCCATGGGGCTGGTCAGGGGCTCAGAGAGGCTGTGGATCTGCCTGTCATGCTTTGAGACTGACTAGATGCTGCATGTGACACGGAGATCTCCGTGGCGCGTCGCTATATGCTTTTCTGCCTGTGCATGCTGTCGATTTCTGCCCTTAGGTACAGTTGAGCATGTCACAGCAGGCCGTGGAGCAAGATATTGTTCCTGCAGAACCTGCTGCTGCCGCCCCTAACCCAGCCTCCCAGGCACCTCTCCGTCCCAGCCGTCGCCCCTCTGGCGGCCCTGCCTACTCGTCCCAGCCAGGGATCATCAGCCGGCAGCCGTCATCCGTCAAGGCACAGATGCCCAGCCCGTCATCCAGCGGCAAAAACACACCCATGGAGCGCAAGCATGCAACGGCCGCTTACAGGGGGCAGTCACCAGCGGAGGGGAGCGTCGCTGGCGACAAGGAGGAACGGCATGTTCATGGCGATGGCGCGGGAGGGTCGCGGGGAGGAGAGAAGGAGGCGTCTGTCGATGGGATTCACCCCCAGCAGGGGTCGGCGGCTGCTCCTCAGATGTCGGCGGCTGCCATGATCCTCCAGCAGCACCCTAGCTCGACCGTGGCGGCGGCATCGCCCATCGAGGTCTGGATGGACAGGTGGCGCAACGCCCCGCCATCTTCTTCGATCGCCTTCGGAGTGCCAGTCTTCTCACCCCCGCAGAGACCGGCGTCCGTGGCGCCCTCCAACACATCTCGGCCAGTCCTGAGACCCAGGCCACGGCCAGAGGGGACCCCAGAAGGCCAAGAGACCCCCTCAGCAGACGGACCACAGCTATCGGATCAGCCATGGGGGTTCTCAGGTCAGACGACGCCCTCATCGCGGCCCGAGCCAGAGGACGACGCAGGAGGGAAGCGGCCGGGCATGACTCATGGCTGGGCGGGTCGGCGGGGGCGGCTAACATCCCATAATCTGGACGATCCCGAGTTCGGGAAGCGCATTATTCGCGAGCCGCACCCCACAGCCACGGACCACAAGCAGCTCAAGGAGTACTATAGGGCGGCGGGCGGCGGCAAGTACCTCCCTGGCGCGATGCCGGCGGTCTGGGAGGGACTGCAAGATGCCGGCATGTGCCTGAGGTGCGACGACACGACACGCAGACACAGCTAGAAACGAGCACTGGATGGTTTCCTTTCCTGTTTGTGCACCGATCAGGAAGCGCACCGGCCCCCGGCTGACGTCGAGGAAGGGGGCCAGCTCAACTCGCCCGTCAGAGCCATCGCCACCGCCCCGGGAGACCAGTCGTCGCACCGATGCCATTCCCCCCATCCTGCTCTACCACAGGCCCATCCGACACTTCAGGCACCGCAAGGCGTGGCTGCGGGCGTTTGGTGCACCTGCGTCGCTCTGTGTGGGGCAAGATGAGGAGGAGCATGAGTTGGGGGAGAGGACCACCGTTGACGAGGCCGCCATGGCATTGCTTACGTGAGCAACACATAGATGGGAGTGTCGAACACATCTCAACGCATTGTGTCGGTTTTTCTCGTCAGTTTGAGAGATGCGTGTGAGCCTGTGAGGAAGGAGTCTCAGGACGACTGCTTCCCCCTCAAGTCCATCAGCAAGCTCACCGACCAGAGCACGCGCTCATGGCTGGGCGACGAGTCCAGCAAGGATGACTTCAGCCCTCTTGCCGACCGCTCTGCCCCTCCGTCATTCATCCCCGCTCCCCCTTTCTCACCCATCCCCTCGGCAGACGTGCCCCCCACCGCTGATGGCCTGCCCACACAGGGTGCTGACCAGCCCCCGCAAACCTTCTTCGCCCTCATGCCGGGTTCGCGGCCCCCTCCTGTGTCTCTGTCGGCACCTGTGTTGAACCCCTGTGCACCAGGGTTTTTCGATCCCGCCACCCAGCAGGTCGCTGAGGGCATATTCGGCCCCTCGTTCGGCGTCAAGACGCCCGAGCACGAGAGGCAACAGCAGCCGACCCCAGATGATGGCCGTCGGCAGGAGAAGGCAGCACGGCAACTGGTGCGACTGCGTGACGAGTACGCCCAGAGGAGCCCGGTCGAGCTGGAGGCCAAGCTGTTCGCACGTGCCATGTCGGAGCGTCTGATGGGCGGCTCACCCGATGCGGGCCGATCCAAGAAGAAGGCAGCAGCGGCCAAGAAGAAGGGCGGCAAGGGGGGAGCTGCCGGCATGACTGAGCGTGAGCGCCGCGCGCAGAAGAAGGAGCGTGACCGCAGGCAGGCCATTGCCGAGGAATGGCGATCCCGCGGCCTGCCTGTCGAGTTGGGTTTGATTCTTGACTTCGGCTTCCACGCCGAGGCGGAGGACCAGCGCCTGCGCGACCGCCGTGTCCAGCGGGCCATGAAGGCCAGACGCAAGAAGGAGATGGAGCTCGGCATCGGCCCCACTGCGGCGAGACGGGATCGCCAAGCCCCCACTGACAAGGCCAAGCCCGACCCCTCCCCAGACAAGCTGCCGTCAGACGAGGACAACGAGTCAGACGACCCAGGGACGGTGCAGCAGGATGCATCGGAGCTCGACAGCCCGCTGGCACGACGGCCGTACGGCAGAGAGGAAGCCGATGACGAGTGGCGTTGCGAGGATCACGGCGCATCACCGTTCAGCGGATTGGGAGTGGGCATGGGGGCCAGGACAAGAGGGGCGGCCAGTGGCAACAAGACCGGCATGGCTGCCAAGGCGACCGATGGCAAGAAGGCTGCGGGCGGGGGTGGCGTGAAAGACATGGAGCTGGAGTTCCTCAAACACATGAGCGGCTCCAGGCGCGAGAGGGGTGAGAGGGTGCAGCTGCAGCGGACGGGGCAGGACGAGAGCCCTCAGCCAAGGAGGGAGCGGGGCAAGCGACACCAGGACATGCCCTTCGAGGCCGTCACGGACAGCCGCCAGATGCCGCCCGAGCAGGCACTCCTCAACTCCACCCTCCAGAGACACTTCCCCGGCCTTTTCATCCCCGTGAAGGCCAAGACCTCACCGAGCCAGCCGGACGGCAGGGCCGACGTGGCGCGTCCGTCGAGCGATGCGGCATCAGGCCGGCCAGCAGATGACGAGCAGACCCCCTCGAGCAAGGACCCCGATCAGACGCCTGTAGAGAAAGGCAAGACCATCATCAGCACACAGGTGGGAGGGAGGGTGGGTGGGTCGATGCACGCACCGCACAGACGAGCGCACAGGCGACAGACACAGCAGTCAGTGTGTGCGTGCCCTGCCCTGCCCTGCAGGAGCCATTCCGGGAGGACGAGCAAGATCGTGACCAGCCCTCTGTTGAGATTGGCACTGCTGAGCCAGCTGAGGTGGCTTCCACTGCACCAGCACCCGCAGCCCTGGCGCCCTCCAAGGCCACCTCATCCGTCCGGCGACCCAAGAAGCTCTACATCGTGCCGCCCATGGAGCCCATCGAGACGCGCGGCAGGAGGCGCAAAGAAGAGCAGGCCTCAGCCCCGCCGCCGGTCCCGCCCCCTGCTGCCCCCAAATCACCCCCAAACCCCAACCTGAAGCTGCAGCGCCCGCCCCTTGCACCGAGGCGCCCCTCGCCCCTTCTGAAAGCACCTCCTCCGCCGAGGCCATCGACTTCCCCCCTGATACGCTATCCCCCGCTGCCCCCTCTCTTCCCACCACTGTGGCTCCGCGGCATGCCACCCTTCAACCCCTTCAGGTTTCCCTTCATCTCTCGCCCCATGAACAATCCTTTCGGCAGCGTGATGGGAGCACCCCCTGAGCAGAAGGAGCAGATACCAGCTGTCAAGGAGGAGCAGCAACAGGACCACCGACCGAGCAGGAAGAGGGAGACCAGCCCGAGTTGCGGCAGGTCCGATTCCAGGGCCAGAAGCCGCAAGAGGGGTGGTGGTGATGGGGACCCGCCTCCCCGCTCGCCGTCCAGGCGGCCGCTGCGTGACAGCAAGGGCCGCTTCATCACCTTCCAGGCCTCAGATGTCGACCCCAGCCAGGTGGGACCGCAGGCAAGGGAGGAGGCGGCCGGCTTGCTGGGGGTGGGATCCGACAGCTCGCCGACAGAGAAACAGCAGAAGAAGCGGAAGGCTTCCAAGGCGCGGTCGAGCAGAGGCCAGAGCGGAAAGAAGCAGCGAGTGGTGCCTTCAGCGGCTCCAGAGGCAGCAGATCAGGCGGGCGATGCCATGTCTGCGGCAGCCGACCCGTCGCCAGCATCGGTCGCAGAGGCCGTTGGTGCGATGGACCAGCTGAGTCAGCAGGGCACCAGCCCGGGTGCGCGAGGCGGATCAACACCAGGTCGCGGCAAGCCCATGAATCAGATCCTCGAGGCCATCAAACGCAAGGAGGCCGACGCGAGAGACAGGCAGGCCCCCGGCGAGAACGGCACCACAGCTGTCGACAATGCACCACCGAGTCCGGTAAGAAAGGAAAAGGGCGGGCGTGACATGACGCAGGCAGACAGACGCGGAGAAAGTGATTTATGGGTGTTCTGTTCCGTCTTTCAGGATCCCTTTGCTCCATTGCCGTCTCGCGAGCACGAAGCCGGTGCCTTGCCTGACCGAGGTATCGAGGCACGAATGCATGGGGACGACACTGCCTTGTGTCGTCTGCACTGCAGACACAGACGGCGCTGGTGCATGTGGGCCGGTCCATGACGGCTCGCTTCCGAAGCCACCTTTTCAAGTTGGCCGTCCCGCTCCGCCAGGTCAGAATGGAAACCCAGCCAATGCATATGTGCGCCATTGCATGTTTGTTTTCAGTCCTTCCACGGCTGCCCGTGGTTGCGTCTGGCCCACCCCGCGCCCCTGGCTCCCCACAGCAGCAGCATTCCATCGACACGCGGGTCCTTCTCAAGCCCCAGTTTCTCAAACATCCAGCCGACCGTCCCTCTGCCACGGCCACCGACCAGCCGCTGCCCGAGGGCCGGCTGGTGCAGTTAGCGGCTGGTTTGGTCGTGGCCAACACCCCCCCGGCCCCCCTGCGCCTGCACATCCGGTTCGTCTCCCGCTGTGACGCCCATTGTCAGTATGGGTGGCGGGTGGACATCGAGCACCAGAAGGGCGTGAGGCGGGCGGAGTTCGGAATCGACCATTGGACCTACGGCTGTCTGAGGGGCCAATTTGAGCAGGCTGTCATGCATCGCAACATCGCCTACCACGAGCTGGGCATCTGGACGATCGCTGAGGCGTCCACTTGGCCGCCAGAGGAGGAGCCGGAGTCCTCACGCGCAGCAGGGGCGGTGCGGGGGCGATCGAGTGACGATGAGCCACGTCCCGCGTCCAAGCGAGCCAGGCGGTCGGGCGACAAGGACAAGCCGAATGCATCAGAGGAGCGTCAGCAAGACCAGGAGACGGCTGCAGCTGCGGGCATAGACCCCACCGTGCCAGCGGATGGAAAGCAGCCACAAGGACCGGACTCTCCCGAGTCGTCGGGTGCTCTTCCCAATCCCCCGGTGCACCCGCTGCCCCCTCCCTTCCTCCCGATCTCATCCGACGCGTCAGGGGGAACCCCATACCACACAAGCCCCACTGGGATGGTGCCGGTGTCCACATCATCTGCTGCCCTCGTCGGTGACGACTCGCCCAGCCCCTTCTCCCTCATCCCGCCGCTCTCATGTCCCCTCAATCCCATGCAGCCCCTCCCCCCGCTGTCGGCAGCGCCGCCAGCCGTCGGAGGCATCGCTGTGGGCCAGCCGTCGGCGAGGCCCAAGACCAGCCGTGCCAAAGGCAAGGCAGCTGCTAGGGAGCGCACGAGAAAGGCCGGCAAGGGCAGCCACCCGCACCCACCGCCAGCCCCCCCAACAACGGATCTGTTTGCGCAAACAGGTGGTGTGGGTTTGTGTGATGGGGCGGCGGTGCATGAGCATGAGCGTGGGCATGCGGATGAGCTGACGATTCCCTCCGGTGGTGGACATGCTGACACCGCTGCGTGATGGGAATGTTCGTGATGGTGGGTGTGGGTGTGGGTGGGTGGTTGCCTGCCTAAGTAAGTGCCTGAGAGCAAGGCTATCTGGCTGGCTGTCAGAGAGGGAGGTGAAGCCGAGAAAGCTACCTCTAGAATTCGCCCATCAAGAAAGCTACAGTGGTGTGGCAGTGGTAGAGAACGTCTTTCTGTTGTACCGATGTACCAGTGAATAGACTCAGACACAGCCGGTCGGACTGTGTGTGTACCACAGTTGAATAATGAATGCCTCGACGACGTATGCATGGCGCAAACCTATTCGGCGCAAACATGCATCAGGTAAAGGTGGCGAGGAACGCATTTTCTCCTTCCTTAACTCACCACCCGGCACTGATGTCAACCTCCCAGCCAAATTGGCCAAACACGACCTCGCAAAAAAGAGAGGCTAAAGAAGTTTCAGTATGGCAGCGGCAGCAGCAGCGTCGTCATCTGCTTCACCCCTCGACCCCTCGTTCCGAGAGGAGTTCCACTTAGCCAGCTCATGCGACATCGAGGGACCCTTCGTCGGCGATGACGGATCTGTCAATGTCTTCTTCATGGAGCAGGAGGCGCCTATCGACGGATCTGCTTCTCCCCGTGGCGTCCACGTCGCCATTCCGGCAGCCACCTTCCAGCTCTTCAGAGGCTCCCCTCTCGACCACATCCTCACAGCTTACGAGGGCCGAATGCACGGATCCAGCTCGAATGCCTTCATCCAAGTCGGCGGCGTGACGTGTGCCGTCGTCCACGAGGCGTCATCGGCACTGGGGTTCGGCTTCCTGGTCCGCGTGCTATCTGCGTTGCAGGGAGCTGATGGCGAGGCAGCCAAGGGCGTGTGGGACGGTGTCGAGAGGTGGCTCGTCAACACTGCCAAGGGGTGCGGCCTGCAGCCACTCATGGACGAGCCCTCCGCCCCTCCCCCATCCGCCCTCCTCCCCTCCCTCCTGCTCACCGCGGCGGAGCAGTGGTGTGCGGGCAGCCTGCGCGACTTCTTCTGGGACAGCGGCACAAGTGTCCTCTTCCTGGGCACCCCGTCGGAGCGGTGCTGGGGTGACCTGCCGAAGGGCCTGTCATCCCTCTTCGCGGAGTGGCACAGGAAGCACTTCTCGGTGGCCGATCGTGAGACGGAGCAAAGGGTCAAGAAGACGCGTGTGCGGCTGCTTCCTTCATTCACGCCACAGCCGACACCATCACGTGAGGCAAGATCTATCTGGCGGGTCGATGTCTGTGAGTCAGTCACTGCATGTGTTGTCTTGTGTGCAGGCCCTTTGCCAGGCAGGATGTCTGAGGGAATGCCCCCGAGGGTGCGTGAGGAGGGCAATGGCTTCGTCCTCCACGGCTGCCTCTACTGCGTCTCTGCCTTCAACGTCCAGGCGCCAGAGGCTTTCGTCTCGCGCTACGACGCCCATACGGACGAGTGGAAGCCCTGTGGCAGACTGTCCTTCTTCCCCACCACTATGTTCGTGGCACACGGCAGGTATGTATGTCAAGACACACAGACACCGACCAGCACGGAAAGAGTACTCAATCCTTGCTGTTCGTGTCTGTGTGGTCTCCAGGGCGTTCTTCTGCAACTCGCATGCGGCGCGCCTTCCGAAGAAGAGTCCTCCTTTAAATGAGGGCGCTGCACGAGGGGGTGAGGGCCCGGTGCCGCCGCTCGACGTCGGCGCCGCATACGAGGCGGACCGCGCGCTGTACGAGGCACGCCGCGCAGCCCGCGAGGGTGTCAGTCGTCAGCGACCGGACGAGCCTGTGGATGCAATCAAGGGTGAGGTGGTAATCTTTGATGGCTCTTCATTCGAGAGGCTGTCCCCCGCGGCGCTGCTGGTCCCGACGAAAGCTGGCGTGGACGGCAGTGTCGTGCTGGTTCGGTTCACTCAACCCTGGAGGAAGCCCCAGTGGATCCCACTTCCCCCACCTCCCCCGCCGCCCAAACTCATCCAGAAGGGCCACCCACCTCCACCAGCAGCAGCAGCAGCAGCCGCTCCGTCCTCTGCCCCTCCTTCGCGGGGGAGGGGTCGAGGGAGAGGCAGGCAGAGACGAAGGGCTTCACGAACCTCTCCCGCACAGGCGTGGGTCCCCACCCCGCCCCCGCCAAGTCAGGCGTCGATGCCCTCCCTTGCCATTCAGGCGCATGACCATCGCGAGCCGCCCGACCCCTTGCCGACAGCCATCTGGCTGGAGACCTTCACACCGGACGGCAAGCGGCTGACCACATCAGTGGTTGACCCCACCAAGGAGCCGCCGCCCACGAAGGTCGCCGATGAGGAGATTGGGAGCAACGTCCCCTTCTGGCATCCTGAGGTGTCCTTCTTCGTGAGCGCAGGGTCGCCATTCGTCGGCGTGCTGCTGCGCCTATCCGAGAGATTGGGGGCGACCCTCACCAACGTGAGAATGATCGCGCGTGCCACGGAGACCGAATTAGGAGGTGCGTACACGGCGGACAGATATCCAGAATACTCCCCGAACATACCAGGTGAGATAGCATTTCTCCGGCAGAGGGATCCAATGCCCTCTGAATGTATCTGTGGCCTCTGGTACGTCTGTTTCGATTCCAGGGTTGCTCGAGCGTGACCCACGCCGTGGGGACACCGTTGTCGCGCTCTCTCGGTCGCGGCCCCCCAAGAGCATTGCGGGCATGATTGCTCCCAAGGTCGGCTGTGGCGATGATACCATCGCCTGGCGCCGGCAGGAAGTGCTCCGGTTCCGCGTGGTGCACTACATGAGCGGCACTGAGGTGCGGCTGGACAGCAGACTCGGCACGGAGGTGCGAATGACGCCAGAGGCCGTCGGCCCGGCTTCCCAGGCCACTCGCCATGACGACGGCCCCCACAGCCCGCCTCCCACTTTCCCTGGCGTCGGAGGCCTGCCGCCCGGCTTTTTGGGGCCTCCGGGCTTCGGACCTCCGAATCGTCGCCCCGTACCTTCATTGCAACCCTCTCCGTCATTCGGCCTGTGGGTGGGCCACTCAGCCCACTCGCTGGCCCTCGCCGGGTTCCCCACCTTGTGGAACGGCTTCTCGCGTCCACCGAAGGAGTGCAAGTGGCGATATGATGGCGTCTTCCATCCCTTCCAGATGAGCCACAGCCGCGTGTATTTCTTCCCGGAGCTTCGCGTCGGTCCCGCGGCGTCGGCTGCCGAGCGGTCGGCACTCAGGATAGAGAGAGAGAACCTGCTTTGTCGGGGCGCGCGGGAGCCTTGGCTGCTGCTGCGTAGCGGGGTTCTTCCCTGTTTCAGCTATTCGCTGCTAAACGACTATATGCCTTCAGCTATCCGGCACATCCCCGTCTCGCTGGAGGCCATCGCGGTGAGTAGTGAGGATGTATGGAAGCTGGACGGGGAGGTGGTAGTTTGTGAGGCGCCACATGTGAGCCGTGGTTTGTGTATCCGTGGCGACTGCAGCGTGGTGGCTTGATGAGTCGCGAGCATGAGAAGTCCTGCAGCATGAAATATGATGACGATGGCAACCCCACGGACACCCCTGCGCCCGACCCGCAGCAGCAGCCGCAGCGGCCTCAGTCTGAGGCCAAGGGCGACCAAGACCCTCTCACAGGGCTGGTAGGTCGCCGGCGCAAGCAGAGTCAAACATGCATGGATGCGTTTGCACCGCGCCTCTTCTGTGGCTGTATTGACGCAGGGCAAGTCGAAGGGCCGCCTGCTGGCGTATGTGGATCTCCTGGCTTCCAGCCAGGGCGAGTACAAGGACGCTGGCTTGTTCCCAGGCTCGCACCAAGGTGACTGACTCACACAAAAGAAACGCTCATGCCAGCGTTCACCTGCTCATTCATTCTGGTGTGCATAATTCTTCAGATTTCCGGTTGGATGCCTCTCCCTTTTGCCACGTGGCGTCATTCTCACTCCCGCTCGGCCATCTCTTCGCCATCCGGGAGGGTACGACTCTCTACCACATCGCCCAGCACGGCAAGACCCAGGAGCCGCCTAAGCTGACCCCTGCTGCTGTTGCTGCTGCTGCACAGCAAATGGCACACACGGGTGTGGTCTCGGCCATCAGGATGTACCTCACCCGTGAGCTGGGGCTGGCACACGAAGCGGCGATTGCCTTCGAGAGCAGCCTCCCGCGAGCGCCTGGTGAGCGCGGGATTGATCCGCCGCCATGGGCAATGTACGCCGGTGAGGTGGGGATACCACCAATGTCAATGTACGGTACCGGCTGGTCAGCGTACCCGTATGGCGCGCCGTACCCGTATGGCGGCGTGTCTGACGCGGGGGTTGACGATGACGACATGATAGGCGGCGATGGGGCGAGTGGGGGGTCGTGGGAGGACGAGCTGGACGAGGAGGACTATGATGAGGACGACCTGATGGACTTCTACTTTGGGCCGAGGTAGCGGCTGCCGTCTTTGCCGGCCTCTCATCGATTGCATTGCAGAGAGGCAGCCGGCATCGGCTCGCATGGTTGGTTAAGTGACTGGCTGATGTGTGTTGACCTTGTGTGTGTGTGTGTGTGTGTGTGGATGTATGATGACGTGTGTGTCACGTATGGATGTGGACGTGCCTGCCTGTGTTGCTGATGAGGGAGGAATGCATGGCTACATGATTACATGAGGGAGGTGAGTGTGCGTGCCTGCTGCTTTGGTCCATCTTTCTATCTCGGTGTGCGGTGCGTGAGTGTCCGACTGCCTTGAAGCTGCAGCCAGCAGAGAGGGACAACAGAGATGTGTCGTGCATTCCGCCCTGCGTATTTTTGTTGTGTGGTGCTACGACTGGCTTCGTTGCTGTGTTGTGTTGTGTGTCGGGTATCTATGTCCATCTTCATGTGTGTGTGTGTGTGTGTGTGTGTGTGAGTGCCTGCGGGAATGGGAAGGATTCTGTGGTGGTTTGATGACTCCCCCTCGCTGACGTGGCGCGATGAGGTGCGCACCAGCCTGGGAGGAGGGTAGAAAGCCAGACAGACGGGCAGAGTGCGTAGTTGAGAAAGAAGTGGGGTCCAAAGCGGGATGACGTGCTTGCTTGTGGACCAGGGAAAGCATGGTCATGGACGTTAGGCTCCCTGCGCCGCCTTTGTCAACACGCACCTGTTCGCAAAACGAGCCTTGCTCGTGATGGCTGTTGCTTGTCTGATGAAGTGATGGATGCCAAATGCATTGGATGAAATCGGACACCAGCTTGACCGAATGTGAAAGAAACAGATGGTGAGAGCAGAGGAGCGTGCGGATATAAGTATGAGATGACTGAAAGCAATCTGTCTCGTGGAAGTGTGTTTTGGTCGACCAGCATTACACGCACGTATACATCACTCAGTGCCCTGTGGTCCATCCGCACCATGCATCTCTCTCTTGCGTTCCTCTCTGATTCGCTTCCGCCCCTCCGCCAGGTATTGCCTGAGTTTGTCTCTCTGCACATCTGATCGAAAGTGGGTATACTTGCACGTGTACCAGGCAAGGTGGGACTCAGCTGGGTCGTACGGCTGCCAATCGAAGTGATGTTTCCACCTGCTGCCGTGCATCTTTCTGGCTTCGTCACTGTCTTCAATGAAGCTGCGCCAGCGAATGAAGTCGATCAGCTTGCAGCCAAAGGGGGGCCAGTCGGACAAGAGGGAGATCAGCCTCCTCTCGTCATCTCGCTTGAAGACGTTCCAAGCCGTGGCGTTTTTCTTTCGGTACACATGGCCGACATCGAAGAAGTCGCGAATGAAGCACATCAGTCTTGCGCTTGCTGGATGTTGCTCGATTTCAAATCTCACAAAAGTTTGCGGCACTGGAAGCCCTCTCCTGTGATGAAGCCCGACAGCCACTGCAGAAGCTCGTCTTCCCTGATGCTGCTGCTGTCATGGAAGAGCTCCAGGCCAGTCGAAGCACCATGTGGGCGGCCACGATTCATCTCCTCAGCAATGCCAAGGCACTCGTGGCGACTTGCAGCCACCCCTTTCTTGTGCTGGCGGAGAACGACCTCCCTCCATTTGGCGTAGTCGTGGCCCTTCACCGTCAGTGGCGGGAAGGCGTCACACACCTCAACCAGCCGACGACACTGCTCTTTCAGTTGAATCTCGTAGGCAATAAGGTTGGCACCCATATGCGAGTAGAGGTTGCCAACACCCAGGGACTGTTGCAGATGCTCTAGAAGGCTGAACCTTGGGTAGACGCCCCTGTACAGCCAAAAGCATCCCTCTCCATCGATGAGGCCGGCGATTTGAGGGGTCGTCAGGGGTCGCCTGTCTTGATTGACCAGCGACAGGCATCCAGCAGCCTCACGATGGCGGAGGAGAGGCTTGGCAGCGACTGTGGACAGGAAGCGGAAGGGCGGTGCTGAGATGCGGAATGGAGATGGTGCTGATGTACGGCCATAGTGACAAGCGGCTGCGAAGCTGCTGGAGATGCGTCGCATCATCATCGCCAGATGCATGGTGGCGAAGGAGCGGCTTGATGACGGGGACGCGGCTTGGTGACGGGAATGGACGCAAAGGAAGGGGCGCTGAGCAAGCGCTGAGATGCAGAGCGATGCCGGGGCGGCTTCAGGGCGGCAGTGGACAGGAAGCGAAAAGGCGGTGCGATGCCACAGCTGCCAGCATCTTATCATCCATCGGTAAATCTCTCGGTATCGCTCTGAAAGTCACCATGGGGATGCGACTGCCTCTGAAATCAGTGAAGAGCTCCCTGTGTGGCGCTGCAGCATCCTGCCTGCTGAAGATGGCGTTCGACTGGAGCGATGACAGCCTACTCGCAGATCTATCCCGCCGCCTGCCGCTACTCAGTGACGCTCTTCTGGCCTCTCTGGTGTGGCATCTGAGGGCGGTGTGCCTGGCCCTGGGGCTGTTGTCGAATGCCGTGATGCTGAAACTATATGTTGACGCGATGAAGGAGATGACGGTGACTTCGGCAACGACGCTCAACTTCGCCTTGAGCTTTGTGCTGAGCGGGTGTGCGGGGAGTGTGGTGTTTGGCGAGAGGCTGCCTCTGCCCTGGTGGGGAGGGGCTGGACTGATGCTCACGGGAGTGGTGCTCCTGTGTCACAGCAAGTGGGCCACACGTGGCCGCAGCAAGACAAGCATGTGTGAGGGTGGTGGGGATAGGACACTCAGGAGTGTGGGTGGCGAGGAGGGCAGACAGGTGGCTGATGGGACTGCGGGCAGGGAGCTGCGGAGAAGACAATGAACGGCGTGTGTGTGCTGTCAGTATAACAAGAATATAATTACAGCTCAATCGGCGTCACGCATGTTCACACACATGGAAGTCAGTCTGGCACGATGCACATCGCACATCATGATGATCGGTCTTTCTTCACCATCCATCCATCCATCCCCTCGCGTCAGTCAGCCAGTCAAGTCAGTCGGTCACAGGCACACTCCTGCAAGAGTCAGTCGCCATGTCAGAGTGAGAGTACGAGCAGAGTGGCGGCCGGCCGACCGGCCAGCAGTCGTCAAATCGATTCACGGCTGGATGAGTGAGTCAGTGAGTGGATGGACGAAGGATGAAGGCAGCATCAGCGAGAGCAGGTGCGTGTGCATGTGTCACGGCAAGGGGGCACGCATCCCATCTTAGCCTCTTCTCTTCTCTGGCATAATGTCATTGTTGTTAGAATCTAAATATGGCATCATGTGTGAGATTGTATTGTAAGGTGCAGGAAAAGGTAGGTATGTACCACTCGCGAATGCCGACCTGCTGTGCTGTGCTGTGCTGCTGTGAGCTTCAAAAATGCAGGTAGGCAGGCAGGGCGAGGCAGGTAGGTGGACACATCCTGCATGGAACCCCCCACACCCCCTTAACAACCCTCAGTCACTCTCCCTGTCATGAACCACGCATGCCAGCCACCCATCCATCCATCCATCCATTCGACTAGGGGCGCAGCACGTCACATACATCATGTACCTCACACCACACAATCATCACTGAGCACGAGACCACACCACAGCACAGCATAGCACACTGAGCAAGCAAAGCAAGCAATTGGGCAAGGTCATCAGGCAAGGGGTAGGAAGGAAGGGATGGCTTATCGACACAGCACAAGCAGCAATCAGCACCACCAGCATCAGCACGCCAAGTTAGTGGAGACACGACAAGTCAAGAATGAATGAAGAGGAGACCGAATAGTGCAAATGCATCCACACACGCACCTCCCCTCCCCTGCCCCCCAGACATGACACCCTCACCCCCTCCTTCCCCCAGTCCACCACAGCATCTGCAGCAAGCCCGGTCGGCTTAATTAGGAAGAATCATCAAGAATCTGATGCATAGAGGTGCTCTCCCAAGGGTCAATCAATCGACGGGTTGAAAAACGCGAGGGAAGGCGCGCACTCAAGTACACACAGTCGAGTCGTACAGAGGGTCGTGTGCGCCCTTCGATCGGTGCGCAAGTGGGAGGGGAGAGAGAGTGGGTGTGTTCGGACTGGATGAGGGAAAAAGATGAGTGCTATGCCGCTGTGTGTGCCATGCCTGCCCACTCGTAAGCCCCATATGACGCAAACAACGCGGAGCCTTCTCATGGGTGAGGTGCGGTGCAAACAATCGAGCGAAAAAGAACAGACCAGTGAAGGAAGGGACGCATGCCTGAGTTACCCACCAATGCTGCAATCAATACCTCTCTCCTCTCTGTCTGCTGTCTATACCCACGAAGGGCGTGGGGGGATGGGGGGAGGGCACGGTGAAAAATACTGGATTCTTCGACGTACGTGTCTGCAGTGTCTGGAAGTCTGTCTGGTCTTCCTTCCCTGTGCACACCAATCAACCAACCAACCATCAGCGAACCAACCAATGAATGCAACCAATGCGACAAAATGGTGATCATGAGGCACGAACGAACATGTGTTTAAATGGCGACACACTCAGCCAACCAACCCCGACACACACCACAGCCACGCCCCGCCCCGCCACGTCCACAATGCCCCTCCGGCCCTGCATGTCTCGTGTGCCATGCTCTGGCGTCCATCAACCCACCCATCCGGTCACCCATCCCTGTGCAGTGTGTAAGTGCGTATGTATGCATCTCTGATATATGGGTGTGGTGCGGATGTCTGTGTGGATGCTTGTATGTATGCTTGTATGGATGGATGTATGGACGCAAAATCCGTTGATGCACACTCGCACCGACCAATCGACCACTCACTCAGCAGCCAGCTCTCCCCCTCCCTCAACCCCACCCAACAGAAGTCGGTAGGTACGTAAAGCGCGGCGGCGACGGTCTCCAAAAAAGAAAGCTCCGCCCCGCCACACCAAACCAAACACCAAATACAAACAACCAACCGAACCGACCAACACGCCATCCAACAGACAAACAAAGCAAGCAAGGAAGAACGCCTCTCTGCTGCTCCTGCCCTCAATCACCGGCCCGCCGCGCTCCCCACCGGCTCGGCCGCTTTGAAAACACTCTGTCCCATCCATCGCTATCTCTCGATGCCATCCATCTCGCCCCAGAGAGGACTCGCAAACCAATCAGGGCAGGGCAGGGAAAAGCACACAGGCGAAAGCGATAGAGAGCTAGTTAGAAAAGACCAAATGCAGCTCTCCCTCTCCCTCCCTCACCCCCTCCCTCAACCCCCCAGACACCCCTCCAGCCAGACGGACAGACGCGCACACAGACGAGACAAAGACACGAGGGCTGAGTGGGAGAGAAGACAAAAATACCGTTGGCCGGTCTGGTCTGGTCTGTCCCTCTCTCCTCGGTGCACAGCACGGCGTGGGGCGGGCGGCGCGTGACGCCACCGGCTCACTTGCATATTGGCCAGAAGATGACAACAGAGACAGACAGACAGACAGACACCCGTCGTCGATCGCATTTAGGTACGTCTCATCCATCCATCTATCCATCCATCCATCGACACTGCACACGGCCAGCCGGTCGGTCGGTCAGTAGGTAAGTCAGTCACCTTTTACAGCAAATCACATACAGAAGGCAGATGGCTATCCTAGCTGGCGGCACGGCACGGCACGGGTGCGTGTGGTGTGGTGTGTTGTGTCCTGTGCGTGGGAGAGGTATGTGACGTGACTCGGCTATCTTACAAAAGGTGTGGGTGTGTGTGGGGTGAGGGAGAGAGGGCCCCAGTCAATCGCAGCAGCATGGTTTGATGGTGCTTTCGGTGGCTGGACCACTTTGCACCCCTCGTTGCATGAGCATAGCATGATCACGGCAAGGCAACCAACGGCACGGCACGGCACAAACGAACAGGGGAGTGAGTGAACAAGCAACCAGCCAACCACACAGACAGACAGACAGACATGCACCCGCCCTCTCATTCTCTCTCAGAAGACAAGACCCCAGACAGACAGACAGACAAGGCACCACAGCAGCCAGCACAACAGCACAACAGCACAGCTCGGTCAGCTTCCCCCCGTCGTATTAAGACTGAAAATCCACCACGCCCCCACACACATGCGCACACACACTCGTAGCGACAGGCAGAGGCAGAGAGAGCGATCAGGAGGGCCGCTCGCTGGTATGGTGTGGTATGATAGAGAGAGAGAGCCCAAGGCAGGGCAAGGCAAGGTGAGGTAAGCTTATGACAAGGTCAGTGAGTGTAGTGGCTGCGGGCGGTTGGGTGGACGAGATGGCCATCGATATATCGAGGCCGCCTCTCTCCTCCACTCACCCAGCCAAGGAAGCGAGCGACAAAGTCGGTTCAAAGGCAGGCACGCACACACAACACCAACCACCAGACCACGGACGCACCAACACACCCACGCACAACAGGCACCCAATGTGTTATGGATGGGTGGAAGAAGGGTGACCCACCCCCCCCCCCCCCCCCCCCCCCCCC